TTGTAAGATTATATTTATTCGGATATAAGGAACCTATTCCTATTTTCTTTTTGTAATTACCTACCTGGAAAGCCTGACATGAAAAGAGACGTTTAAAACGAGAAATTGTTGAGTCCTTTAATTTCACAGAGCACAAAGATGTCTATTGAACAGTGGTAGAAGGGGGCAGTTAAATGTACCTTAACATATGGCTGGAACTATACAATCAATGGCTATTAGTAAACTACGAAATTACAGTTTTGTGAATAAATTATTTGAAAACTTTATTATTTTGCACATGATGACAATATATAACTAAAAATAGATTATACATTGAAAATAATTAAGACACGGGCAGGACTTGAACCGGCATTCACAGCGTCAAAGAGCAGAAGCACAGAAGACAGTGGAAACCGGTATGAGACCTGCCCGTGTCGTAAATTGTTTTAATTTGAGAGAAGTGACTCCCTCAAAAATGCCAACAGCTGCAATAGGATTAATAAGCGAGGCATGCTAAGGCTACATCATAAACAAAACACTCGAGCCAATGAGAGGAGACAGTGATTTTGTAGAGCAATTTTAATGTACATTTAATGAAATGTGACGATTCTCGCGGTATCGCGAATTGCACATAAGTTATTTTATTGGTGGCGCCGGAGTGTTTTATTTCGAGACGTGAATCGACTTCTTGCTTTGTAAACGCGTATTTTAGATATGAAGGTTGAGAAATCTTTGTTTTTAAATCTGTAGGCAGCTAGACGAAACTTCATTATGAGTGCTTACGAGTCGTACGTACATTTTCAACAATAAACGACGATAATCGTTTGAAATAGATTAACGGTTTATTAGTAAATAAATTCGCTTTGAATATTACATGTAACATAATTATTAAGCCTTCTTTTGCCTTAAAAACTTTCAATTTCCTTGTTTCGTCACTTCTGAACGACGTTTAAAACTATCTATAATAATATATAAAGATGGAGAGTTTGGTTGTTAGTTAGATGAAAAGGAGGTTTACAACGACACATTTGGATACCTGAAAAAAACTATACTACGCGGACGAAGTCGCTGACACAGCTAGTTTACTACAAGTCTATATATTCCAATTTTTTATACTTGTGTGAATCTTACTTAAAAAAATATTATTTTTATAAGCTTCCTAAAGTGTATATCAAACGCTTTGTTATATTGTATAATTTCTGAGAAACATCGAATAAACTTTATAATAGCTACTTTAATTAAAACACGATCGTAAATATTGAAATCGATTGATATTTACCGAAGAATACATTTTTACCCAGACGTGACTCACTTTGAATCATTTTAATTGTCATTTTCTGTTTTAATTAGCTAATGGCCAATAAAAGTGACGACTGCATATTTCAAAAATGTTTCACGCCACAACAATCGTTTCAGATGATCTTTATGACTTGATATATTAATAAAACACTGGTCTCATATATATTTTCAACTAAATGTTGAGATTATTAGTAAGTAATAGGACTCAGCTGTGTTCAAGATTTTTAGGGTGATGCGTTCCACACATTACGTGTTGTATACACGCAATCTTTAAGTAAACGTGATTTTACTGTTTTTAGAAATGTTACAGAACACTTATTTTACTAGTCTTTTAATAGATAAAATAATAAATAAACCTACGACTTCAACGAAACAGTAAATTAAATTTTTGGACCTTCGTTGGCATTTAAAATCGTAATAATATTGTGGCGAATGATTTATGTTTATTCTCCGAATGCAGGTAGGTGCCTTTGTTATCAAATGATTGCGATATTGTGATACCCACTTAATATCTATTTACGCGTTATTATTGATTTTCTCATTTGCATTTAGACGCCAGGCGCCAACGCCTACACTGCAGATGTGTGTTCAAATATTATGTGGAAGTACTTATCATTCATAATTCACAAACTTCAAGTCACGATATTGTTAAGACATATCGTGACAGTGAATGAAATAAAATGTTTTCCATGTAGATATAAAACATAACATGTAAAAAATAAACGAAAAATTAGCTAATTAAAATTAACTTAAACAACAGCTACCGCGTTATTTAAGCTTCTATATTTTTATATTATGAAAGAGAAGGCTACACAATCGTAGAGTTCACTACATGGAAGGTGTACTTCAGACGTGTAACCTCTAAACAAGATGTGCCGTCGACCTATTTCGGCTTTTAAATACTCATTTGGAAATCAACAGACTGAAACTGAAACGCGGTTAAACTATAAGTACAGCATTCCATCACCAATTCAATATTCAGATTACCAGACGAAGTGCTACATGTTTCAGAAGAATAATGGCGGGCCTCGAACCAATGACCCGTTATTGCTAACATTATACCAATGAGCCTGTGACAAATCACAACATTATTTGTAACGCTTTAATTTAAACATTTTAATTGAATGTCTGACTCAACAATTCACGTTCACACAATCGAATTCTAACACAACAGAACAGAATGGGACGATAAAGATGATTGGTCTCACTCGGTGCAAGATAGGAAATGGCGTGAGGGAAGTTCACGCTGTCTAGAACTTCGCCGCCAACCACAAGACGCGGTCTTCGTTCGCAATAAACTTGCAGACTTGAAATGTTTATTGTCAGACGAACGACACCTTTTAAACTATATTAGCAATTCTGAACTGAGTGCGTAGGCTCGTGTTTTTTTAATGTTTGCTTTAATTTACAGTTTGTATGAGAATAGGTAAAAATGACGATTAAAATAAAAGGATCCCTCCCCATGACCACGGCTGCTAAATGAATCCAACTAATACATTTCTCGTTTTAAACAATTAGTGTTTTAAATGTGTACTAAGTACTCTCGTAAACGTCAGATTGTGTTACTTATTAAACGTTTCATTTTCAGTTATACACCGAAAAAGTGGGTCTCATGAATGAACGTATTACCTAATATGATTGACGGGCGTATGGCTGAATGGCTAACACTCATCGGGTCCTACATGTTTCTACCTCAATGTATACTTTATGCTTCTAATCAATGTATTGAATACCGTTTATCACGAACCACTTCTGATACATAAAAGCCGTAAATCTAAAGAAAACCGTCGCTGGTATCTTACGAACCAATGCCCCATTCGAACAAGCCTACAATCACATAAAGCCAAATTCGTGAGATAAAAATTAAAAATCCTCTGAATCTCGACCTGGTCATTAACTTTGCGTTGTACAAGACTCAACAGTGAACACCTCGCATTATGTAGGCATTGAGTGGGATAATACCTAGTTGTAAACGACAGTCCGTGAGACGATTTAAATCTTAAAAGGTACAATTAGGTATCGCGACTTAAGCAGACCGAGGTCACAGCACTAACTTAAATGCCTACGCGAAATGTAAAAATTTCATTGTTTGTGGCATTGTACACGCCCCGGGACCAATTTATTTCTTTACGTGTAAACGTTTCAAAAATCTTTATAGTTTTGTAGTTTTAAATAGGTACGAACATTGCGTCAAAGGAATGAGATAATCTAATGCCAGATTGTCTAATAGCCTATAAAATTGATAAACTTATTTATTAACTCGAAACGTCGGCAATCTAATTGCCATCAAACCATTTATCGTTACCTACAATTGCTTTTGGTCGCGTCGTTTCTTTTCGAAAATTGAGGCATTTTTTTAATTCGTACGTGACGTAATTATTCGTAAAGCTGACCAAGCACCTACAACCCACAAGACTCTAAAGCTACAGCGAAACTGTACGATCAGTCGGTAAACATTTGCTTTATTGCAGAAAAAATCGACCAACAGAACGAACTACTACCGCGTGTTGCCTTATTTTTGTTATTAGAGGCAAAGAAATCGATTACATAAGGACTATATAATATATGGTATTAAACGGGCCTTAACAATTGTATTGTAGGTAGAATTTTAATCCCTTCGGCAATGCGTTGTGATGACGCAACTATGATAATGTTATTCTTTCCTTAGGTGATTCTTTCGTGTCAGCATATCTCGAATTTACCGTTTTTTACCACTTAACGTCGTCCTATCGGCGGAACTGTCAATCGAGTGCTATAAGGATTCATATGAGGGGCAAACAAAGGTTATCTTAAACGGCGTTGTCTGTCTAATACTTAACTATTTAGATAAATATAAATTTGTCTGAAGCACAAAGGTGGAAAACGGCAAGAACGCCACGCATTTTAATACGTTTGGCTAACTAGGGTCTATTCTCTAAAGTCTAAGTACTTACCTCTGCCTTCAGCTACCGGCTCCCGTATCACGTACACTATTATTTTGGCGGTTCATATCGTAAAGCGAAATTAAGAGCAAGCGAGTATAAAATAATATCACCACGTGAAACACGCAAACGTCGGGCAGAAGTTAAAAATAATTTGCAAATAAGTTTAACTAATATATATCGCGTTTATACCAGTTAATGTTTATTTAAATAATGTTTTATTTAAATAAGAAATTACTTTTGTTTTAGTCCGGAAAATTACAATTTTTGAGGTCTTTCGTTGCAGGCGCTGCAAAAACGGATCACGTAAACCAAAATAGTGTATGAACGATGAGACTGAAGCACGTTGACGAGGGTAAAAGCTTAAATTTGTAAAGATGAGGAGGTTCGCAAAAACAAATTTGTAGTAATTTAATATGGGTATTTAAAGTGTGAGGCAGTTTTATTTGCATATGCACAGGCATACAAATGTTAAAATAAAACTGACCTATTAACTTTACAGTAAACTGTTAATATGTCTTTGTAGTTAGTAAAAATTAACATATTATCTCAAACAAATGTATATAAAGCGATGAACGTATTACATACAAAACTCAGTGTCGGTGCAAGGACAACATAATACCGACGTTTGACGGATGTGAAATGAAGGATTCGTGAGCATTCAAAGGAATTGAATTAGCGGACAGAACATGGTTTCCTCTCAAATGTTTCAGCAGGTGAGTCCGATTAGTTCATTTACAGGTGCATGAGGGGTTTGATAATAAAACGCCACATTAAATACCCTAACTATAATATTACAGCTTAAAGAGTTAAAGCTCCAAACGGCGAAAGCGTGTTTGATGTCCTTAGTCTAAACCTAAACCTATTTAAGAGTCCACTGGCGACCACCGTCCCTTTGATTTGGGAAACTTGGCAACTGATCGCGTTTTTATCTTTGATCACGTCTAAGGACCGACAGTTTTTTATCTTTATGTTAATCGTTCGCCTCAAATGGGACGTTTCGAAGGCGTCTGACAGCGGTCTCGCGGGTTTTCTTCTCACGTGCTGAGGCAGTAGTTTCACTTTGGGCCTGTGTGTCGGTCTCAGCGGAGGGTAGAAGTCATCGTCGGAGCTCTTTTCCGCCTTCTCCGAGTCTTTATCGGATTTTTCTGAAACGATTTCAAGTTTTTATAAAGATCTATCGTTTGTTTGAAATAGCAACAGTTTCGCGTTGCAACAAGTCAGAAACTCTATTAAGAGCTAATTCGAGACTACAGAATGGAACGGTGGCTCAGCCGGTATGCAACAATACCAAATGCTATTGTAGTTAGTGATTGAGTGTCTGTTTGGCTAATTTATACAGCCAAGCTACAGTCTGTGGATTTCCAAATATCCAACGCTAAAACAGGTCCATAGCGCAGCGAATGTCGTCTCCACAGTTGTCTGACCTCCACTCTCATAAAAAAGCTATTTGCATTATGTGAAAAGAAAAATGTTTCAAGCCTTACCTATAAAAGGGAACAAGGTCCGCCGCGGCATTATGGAATCCCCGAGTATCTCATAGAGCGTGTAGTCGGTCATCACGAAGTCTTCCAAGTACGTTGTGAGCTCAGATCTGAGCAGGCAAGTCGACACGTCCTAGACGGAAAGCCAGCGAATTTACGTTTTTTGAGCGATTTGATTCATAGTGTCTAATATTAATAACTAAACTGATTTAAAAACTGCATAGAACAAACGGGCATCACGGGTGATTGGCATCGTACTACAATTTGTATACATTTCATTTACCATCAAGTGAGCTAAAACATATGAGCCGCTGAAAATACATACGAGCATAGTCTCGCGGAGGTCGCAATGCTTGATATTCCTCCGCGAGGCGTGGACGATGTCGTCGATGTGCTCCAAGTGGTCCCCGAGGCAGCGCACGAGGGCGTCCCGGCCCAGCGCCATGACGCACCGGATCATGGGCGCCGTCAGACGCTCCTTCGTGCCTTGCGACAGATAGTCGAACAATATGCTTTTGCCTGGAAGCAGAGTTTGTTGAAGTAAGAGTTGGTATTTTAACGATAGTCGACGGACGAGCGTGGGGTTCGTTTTGTAACAGTACTCCAATCATAAAATGTCTCAATAAGATGTCGACTTCGGCATTAGATATTCGGGAATCAACAGACTGAAACTGAAACGCAGTTAACATCCACACTTCTGTGGCTGAACATTAAAAAGTGATTAGAAACATGTTGGATGTAACCCCTAAATGTGGCTTTTTCATTTTTAATCCACGGCTTCATAAAATTGTTTGGCAGGATATTAATTAATATAAGATTAAAATCAGTGTTCAACACTTCAGATAGAAAATAATGCAGTTTTATTACCTATTGCAATAAATGATGGCCAGGTCCTTGTTATCTTTGTTAAAATAGCAACCATTTTCTCTGCCAAAGATCCATTTCCTAATATATTGGAAACCATGACAGGAAATAGCCTCTGAAACTAAAAAAATAAACCTTTTTAGTCTCCTGTTGTATTATCTTTGAATTAGATAAATTGAATACCTAGTTTATGAACATTGAAAAAATATATGAAACAGACAGGAAAGTATTAAAAAAGGATTTGTGTTAAACTTAATAAACTTTTAACTGTTTACATAAAAAATTTCTTTATGCAATTGCATTCTGAAATAAAAAATAAATAGAGAATAAAAAAAATTGAATGTATAAAACATTACTTGTTGTTGTATATTTGTATCCAAACTGCAGGGGTTAGAACAGAGAGCGTCTACCATATCCAGAACATTTGATTGTAGAGGTTTCTTGGCAGGAACATTCAGGGCATTGAGATTATCGTCATTTAGAACTAGAACAGCTAGGTTAAACAGGTTCGGAAAAATCGGTCCAATTCTAGTATTTGTCGTAAGATCCTCAACGGCAACTTGTTTTGGTGTTTTTTTTAAATTTAATATTGCTGAAAATAACAATTGAATACACTAGATTATATCAATATCTCCTATTCAACTATCCATTTTGACTAGATCCTTACCCCTAGCTACTTTAGTGTAATAGTTCTGCAAACTAGCGCTTATGTGACTAGACCCACTCAAGCTTTTGTCATCTGTCACCCAGTCCACTGACATTGTTGGTATTGTTGAAAACACATAGGTCTGCGGAATCATTGCTTGCTCTGTCACATTGATAAGAGTTTCCTTAAAATAATGAAAACTTTGGTAACAAGCAAATAAAAAAAGTAATTTAAATTATGATGTACCTAGTTTTACAATATTGACATGTTTATATTGCAAATAACTATAAACTACTTTGTTTTACTTTTATTAAAAAAAATACATTACTTACAACTTCACAGCATAATTTTTCATCTCCTATAGTAGTGAAATGACCGGAACTGGCCCCAACAATAGGACTAGTATCTGACAATACCATAAGTGTGTTAACATCCCAGCTGTCCACTTGAGATTTCTTCATAATTCCACTATGTAAAGCTATTGCCTAAAAATTATTCTAAATTAATCTTACACATGCAGTTTACAAAGTGTTGTGTGGAAATTTTACAAAAACTGAAGTAAATATGTTTAAACTGATTAGAGAAATATTTTTGTATATAATAGTAAATATTTGTAACACTTACACTTATAGTTTGCCGAAGTTTATAGCTAATATCTTCAGCAAGATTTACAGCAGCTTCAGAATTAAGCTCAACAGCAATTTGTTCAGCCATACATTGTACTGAGTCCGCACCAATACCAGCAAATTTACCTTGTGATGTACATGCTTCCTAAAATATATGATTTTTAAATATGTCTTTACATACTAGCAGTAAAAATTAACAAAACTAAAGAGTTATTTGTACAGAATACGTATTTTTGCGCTAATCATTTTTGAGTTACAAAGTAATTTCTGTTTAGAAATTGAATATAGCAATTGTTTATAATTGAATGCATACCTTCTCTACTAACGGTGGCGTATCGCATTGACTAGATCCACCGGATTCAGAAGCTGTTGACTTGGTTTTATCTCGATCTCTACTACTATTCACTTTTTTTGAATGATTTTTAAAAGCCGTAGAAGTTAGCGTAGACATATTGGTAAACACGCGTTCTTTAGCTGCTTTCTGTTCGATTATGTGATAAAGTCATTTTATTACGTAGATAAATGAATACATTAGTTTACTTAATACCAAACACATGCGAATAATCTGAAAACGAAATACATAATATGTAAATAAAATAACTCGCATTCAGCAAACACAAGATACATTATTTGCTTTCGTTTGTCAAAAATGACAATTTACTATAAAAAGGTTGACAGTGCAGATATTAGTTGAAGGCACAGATGTAAATAGTAAATGTGGAAAATCTAAGTTAATAACAATACTTAAAATGTAGTTTGTTATAGCATAAATTTAAAAAATGCATACTTACTATTGATGTAACTACAGTTAATAGCGGCGGAATAGCTATTTAGTTTGCTAAAAAAAACCCCTGGACACAAAAATTGATGTGTATTTTTACTTGCTTGGCATTTTTGGTAAACAAACACACAATTTAGACGACAGCGCGACACACTAAAACACTTTGAGGCACTGGATTATATATTGAACTACCTCAAATTCACTTAGTAAAAACTAAAAACCACTATTTATGCCAATACTAATAAAAATCCTAAAAATGAATTTACGCTAATGCACAGATTAAATTGCTTTAGTTTGACATTTACGTAAAGATTTTTTGAAACATACTTTTACAATAGAAGGTTGAAGTCCCACTCATGCACGATCGCTAAAAAGCGTTACAAAATGATTTTGAATATTTAGATTGTTTGGCCCATACATCTATATCTATAAATATATCGCACCCCTAGGTGAAAACTCCGGCAATTCAAAAACATTTTTTTCAGAAATGACTAAAAACTGTTTTCGGAGTATTTACTAAAGATATCGAGTATACTAATAATTATTATGATAGGTAAAGTTCTAGAGCCTTTTTAATGACCTACTTTTTAATGCTATTGTCACAAAAGTTAAAAAGAAAACTAATTTCTTTAATTAGTTGTGTTGAAATTTTCGGCGGAATTTTTTTTTAATTTTTTCGAATTTTTTTTTCAACGGTCGAAGTTAGCGTTACTGGAGTTTGAACTCCGTGTAGGTATTCATGGCGGGATTTTGAAAACGCCACTAACTCAATTTAAGTATTTTTTGAGTTAGTGATGTTTTCATCTAGGGGTGCGATATATATATTTAAAGCTGAAGAGTTTGTCTGTTTGAACGCGCTAAATCTCAGAAGGGTTCGGATTAAAAATTTCTTTTGTGTTGGTTATAGGCATAACATATACATATACATATATATAACACATAGCGATGTGACTAATAGGAGCGAAGATGCAGCGAGAAATATGAACAAAACGGGGGAAATTCTTCGTCTCTGTAGGTTTCAGATGCGTACGCTGCGAAAACGGTTCAAGATACCTAAAAATTTTTTTTTTTTATTTATTTATTATTGCTTTATTATTTATAAACACACCACAGAAAATACATATAATTGAGGAATAAAAAATGTGTATGAAAGAATGATTTCCCTTTAAATGATCTAAAAAAAAGTCCGCGACGCTATATGTCTATCTTTTAAGATTAACTTGCATGAACGACCCGAACGACGGGACGCGTACGACGGGATACGAATATCGTGGGTAAGAGCTATCTACACTAATATTATAAAGAGGAATGATTTGTATTTTTGTATGTAACTGATAAACTGAAAAAGTACTGGGCCGATTTTAATAATGATTTTTTCATTAGACAGCTATCATTGAGTAAAATAATATACTTAGTACTAGATTACGATAGAAATCTTTAGAAATTTATATTAAAAGCAACGAGAGGTGTAAAAAAAATAGCCATAAAATGTCTTTCATCGCATACGCTGCGAAGAGTATTAATGATAGGACAAAAAATTAGAAAACTTTATTATTTTTTACATGGAGGCACCATACAATTTAAAAAGCGAAAAATTTTAAATAGGACCCAAATCGTTCGACAATATTATAGAATACATCAATATTTACAAAAAACATCGCAAGAGCATGTGTAACTATTGTAGTTAGGTCACTATAACTACTTTTTTTACATTTAACAAATTGATAGAAAAGCCGAACAAAATCAAACCGTGTTATCCATATTTTCGATCGGCCACATTTTTATTTAAATAAATTATAGATTTTAATAATATTATAAATGCGAAAATAACTCTGTCTGTTTGTCTGTCTGTCCGGCTTTAACTCCGAAACTACTAAACTGATTTAAATGAAATTTGGTAAATACATATTTCAATGAGAGAGACTTTTTATTGTCAAATAAGGGTTGATAGGGGTTGAAAAAGGGAATGAAAGTTTGTATGGAAATTCGTGGTTTTTGAAGCTACAGCAATGAAACTTTCTTCTTTGGATTTTTGGGAATAGGAGTGGGAGTTAGAGTAGTAGTGATGTGAGGTGAAAGTGTTGCGGCAAAGTAGCACTTACAACATAGATTGGCTGCCCTAAATGCGCCCTTACATTAATTAATAAACAACCTAAATAATTAAAAATTCTACCACAAGTCACTATTCCACGCGGACGAAGTCGCGGGCGTAGCTAGTAATGTATACTTTTTCAGACATGTGTCATCCGTGGCATCGACTACACTCTATAAAAGGGCTCCATTAGTTCTTTAAAGTTTGAAATACGCCATATTTGTTGTGATCTTTTGCTAAATTAGAAAAAATACACTATAGGATAAAGCACAGGATAAGGTACTTTATATAAGGTACTATATGAATCGGAAAAAGATTATAAAAATTACATATATGGATCCCTTTTTTGTATTTCACTTGCCTTAAAATTAATATTCAGCTGCATTTAATTGGTTAATTGAATGCAGCTGAATATTAATTTTAAGGCAGCTTATGTTATTAAATTCGGCTCTTATTTATCTTCCTGTTTAAAATCAACGCTAGGCATAAACTCTTTATTGATCATAGAATCGCAGACAGTGTCTTCCTTATGCTCCTCACTGGGTAGATAATCTGCTTTAAAAAACATTTCAATGTCTTGCAGTGTCTCCCCCTTTGTTTCGGGCATAAATTTCCACAAATAAGCGATACACATGAATATTATAACAGAAAATAAGAAGAATGTACCGTCGTAGCCGATATTTTTAAACATTTCCGGAGCCGATTTTATTGTTAAGAATTGTAACACGCCCGCGATAGCTCCGACAATAAATATGCAAAATGTCTTGGCTTCGAGTGGATATATTTCGGAGAGTAAAGTTTCCAATACGGGATACGCACCCGAGTTAACAAATAAGAAATATAATGCTAATAAACTCGCTTTGACCCAAACAATAGTGTTGTCTTCGCTCTTATTTTCCGTGAAGTAGCAAACGCCGCTAAGAAACATAAGAATAAAATTTCCCAATGAACCAAAGACAAATATCAAAGTGCGCAATTTATTAAAAACGCTAACTAAAATACACGAATTCAAAGCCCCAAAAATACCTAAGCCGTCCACGAGTAATGTGATTCCCCACAAGTTCGAGTAGCCTGTAAAATCTCGGAAAATGCTTAGAGCTAAAGTACTAAACAACACGCGGCCCGCGGCAATACGATACACGTTTATAATAATACTTAATAAAATTACTTTCCAAAAATATTTCTGTCTACTAGCTTTTATAATTTTTTTTATCGGTGCCATATATGATCTATCGACGTTAACCACGCTTTCTTTACGTTTCTCTAAAGCGATTAAGAGTCGTAATTCTTTCTCGCTATCTTCATCCAGAACGTGTAACGCCCTGAAGGCTCTCTCACATTCCTCATAGCGTCCTTTAGAAGCCAGCCACGAGGGACTCTCGACCCAGAAAAAGGGTAAAATACAGGACAACGCAGTGGGAACCAATCCTATGAGAGCTACATTTCTCCAGTTCATCGCGAGACTCAGGAGGTGTCCTAGAGTCGTGCCCATTAATTGTCCCCCGCTAGCGATGACGTTTACATACAGCGATCGTTTCTTGGGTGTTATGTACTCTCCTATAGAGACTTTGCTTATTATAAGGATACCCCCGTAAGAGACGCCGACGAGCACTCTAGTCAACAATAACGTGGTTTTGTCTTCTACGAAGTAAACTACAATCCAGCAAAGAATTACAGGTGATGTGATGATTGAGATCGCGCGGCGCCGTCCGAAAATCTCGGTGGCCACGCCGACGACGGCGAAGCCACAGATGCACGTGACGTTAATTATCGCCGCTGAAAAGAAAATGAATACAGCTAGACTATGGCCTAAGGCCACACATTTCTTTATCATATAGAAGAACTAATCAATGGTACGTGGTTCGATCCCCAACGGGTACCACATGTGTCTAATCTTTCTCAAACGTGTTGGACTTCGTCTGGATGCACAGATTAAAAAGACGTGAAGTTTTATTATGTTTCGCTTTCAGCCTGTGGATTTCCGAATATCCAAAGCTAAATTAGGACGTCATGTCGCTGGGGTATTCACCTTCCACTAAACGAGCTCGTCTGTCCTCTTTAACATAAAAAACACATACCAATTAAGGAGATTTCGCCAACGGTCAGTTTCACCGAGGCGTCATCCCTCGTGAGAGCGTCGAGCATTCCGGACATTTGGCCAAATATGAATCCATCAGTGATATTGCATAGGGTCAATCCTACAGTAATGAGGATCTAAAAAATATTTATAGTTATAGGTTATTCTCATTTGAATTAAACTAGGAAATCCTCCTCTTTCACTGAAAGGTCGAACGTGATACGTGATCATTGTTAGGGTCTGTTGACACAGATGGAGTTTTATAATAATCAATCCATTCCGTTGTGGTTTTAAATTATTATTACACTTTAGTGCGTCACATTTTTCGCATTACTTATAGTATAATAGAAGGGTACAATTATCGAAAACTGAGTGGAGTGATGTAAAAAAGTGAGAGACTTTTTAAAATTAAATGTACTCTCTTTATTTCTTATAGCAAACATTTTAATTAAAACACTACTTTTTTTCTCTCGTAATTATTTAAAAAAATCGAGTCACAATTCTGAGTTGTCTGAAAAAACATAGGTCGAGAGAGAAAAACTGTAGTTTCCGTTCGCCTAGAAGTTCCTTTACTACACTAGACTTAAACAGTATTTTCAACTATTTTCCCAGCCTGAAAGCACAACAAATCGCACGGGTTACAACAACATTCGAAACCGATTGCAACCTATGTAGACTACACACGATTTTGTTATAAGTTTTTATTTACCCTCATTGAACAATAATAACAATAAACTTGTATCAATATCTATTGGTCTAACGGTAACATTGTATGGCTAGTAATAATAATCGACGGTTCGTGGTTTCCACTCCCGCCCCTTCATCTGGAAATCTAGCTAACAAAATGGGCTATAAGAATACCGAAAATTGCGTCAAGTCCCGAACCACCGTCAACAGTTCGAAAAGCCGTAAAGTATAAAAGTATAACGTTTTGTTTTCAGTCGGTGGATTTCCGAATATCTAATCTGTCGAGATATTATATATATACCATATCTGTCTATTCTGTCATATTTTTTTTTTGTAAAACAGTCCAAATAACAATTTCAATCAAAGTTAGCAAAAGCAAAATAAGGAACGATGCTTTATTTATAAACAAGTAATTACTGTTACACAGATTAAAAGAAAGTTGTGAAATATTGGAAAACACTTCCTCACTAAAAGTAATTAAAACCACTACAATATAAGTAATTTAAATTAAGCGAGAAGGGATAATCCGTGTTTTATTACATCGTAATATAATATTGTTGAAGCTTCATACATACCTGTTGAATTGTTCTGCCCTGCATGTTCTTACTGATTAATTTATTTGTTACAATGTCGATTTTAAACATGCACTTTTTAAGCGACCTGCCTAAGTGCAATCTGAAACTAAAAAGCGGTGACTTACGTGAACGATGTTCGACACATTAATGCACAAGTCGTCGGTACCGCCATCCTGTATTGTGGTAGATGGTGGAAGTAAATGCCGAATAATCAGTTTCATGTTTTCGATTAAAAGACGTCAAATGACATCGTTTTTACAGAGTTGCAAGCGCAAGCTTACTTCGAGTTTATTCCCTTGTAACTCGTGTTCAATCATATCGTAAACTTATTTTTATATGTACTTTAAGATGTTTACAAAATTAGTAATCAATAAGGGTTAATGAAATGTTAAGTAATGTAAATGTTAGTATAATCAACACGTAGCTGTTTTTTCCACTGACTCCACTTGTCTCAATGTCGGCCTTTAATTCACACCTCTTTAGTTGAAAGTTAATATATTGTCATATATGTCAATATATTTTATTTTATTAATAATATGTGTACAAATAGAGCTAACGATGTCGATTCATCGGCGTTAAGCACAAGGGACTGTTCACGAATTGTATTTTCCTCTACTACAAACAAAACGTATACGTGAAATAATTACTCCGATTTTTCAATTACTTTCCGAGTGATTTTCCAATATTTACGAAGTGACGTATGTTTTAACTCTCGCCTTACGTTTTTTGGTATTTTATGCAATTTATTGTAAAAGTTATTTAAGTTATAAGTATAACTTTAACGCACGCTGGTACCTTGCTATAATAGTTGGCCATTGTCTATATAATCAGCACTCAATAATTACAAGTGTTATTTAAAGAATCCATTTTCGGTTCATTCCTAGAAAATAACTTGCAACTTGCAGTGATTGCGCAATGCTTTGACAACAACAATATGCAATGTAGTATTGATATGTAGTAGTAGGGATCGGCTTCTGAAGTATCAAAGTATTTTGAAATATCCGGTTTTATGTCATCATAAAAATTCTTTGTTTCTATTTTGTAAATTAAACTATCAGTATCTGTCTACAATCATTTTACATTTGATTTAAATTTATCTTCCTTGTAATTGTAGTGAAAATCATACATCAATGTTTTTGACATGTCCAAAATACAAAATCCTAAATAGATGGGTTTATTATAGATAAGTTTTGTTTTATTTAACTGTATGGCTACAAGATTTTCTGAAAACACAAAAAGACTATGACAATGAGGTTGAGCTATCGAATCCCGTGCCCCCAATACTTTACCCTTATTTTCCCAATGAATTAACAGTTTGACATTAACACGCTTTTCAATATTTTCCAAGTCCATTCCATTTTTTATGAATTCATATGGATATATACCTTTCTTCGTTAACCGTTTAAAATCTTCTATGTTTGGGAAGCATTTGGATAGCTCTCTAAATTCATTACTTTTTAAATTTTTAGCCAAGGTATCTAAACTACTTGGTAAAAATTTTAATGAATCTACGAATCGAATAGTTACACTGTGATTGTTTATTTTTAAAACTTTTGAAAATGAGATATATTTTCCTTTATTTTTGGGGAGCACCTCTACTTGATCTTCTTGAAAGTTTAAAAGTTTTAAAGCTTTATGACTAACATAACAATTTTTGATGTTTTAACAAGATTTTCGTCTTCATGAGACAACTGGTTAGGTGTCTTGAAACTTGATTCTTAATGATTTTCTACCGCCGCTTTTATAGGAACAAATTTCTTTTTAATTATATTTTACATTTAGCTAGAGAGACATGTTTAAACAGGAAACACAACTTATTAATTACTAGCGGTCTGCCCCGGCTTCGCCCGTGGGGTATATACGTCGCCTATAGAACTTGGGGCTATCTTAGCTATCAATTGGTGAAAGAATATTTAAACTATTTTAAATGGTATCTATATACCATAACCATATTTCGCGTATGTGTTTTACTTGATATGTATATCTTATGATTATTAAATCGAACCTGGGTTAGCAATTAATTATCTAATGAGTTGTACAGTGTCTTAAGTAATTTGTAAATGAGGCAGATTTTGAGCAACCTTCAGGAATGCAAACGCTTTAAGTAGGGGTCAGAAAGAGTCCAAACCTTTTTTTTTCCAGTTTTGTTTCATGCCGTGACGCGTAGCAGTGACCACCCGCAGGGGATTCCCGGCTAATAATGTCTCTATTTTGCAGTTTACTTACAAATTTATGCAATTACATTTTTCACGTCCATAAAGATGATTTTAATGACATGCGCTTAAGCATGCTAACCGAATACAAGTACGTATGTATGGCGACTACTAATTGCAATTTTTAAGAAATAGGTTTTTAATTAAGTTTTTCTTGGGAAAATCGAAAACAAGAAAATAATAAATACTTGTTATTGTTAAGACAATAGTAAAACAAAATTAAAGGATATCATTGGATAGTATAGTGATACAAAATAGCTAACGCAAGAGTGGACGGAAACAGAGAATGCCACGCAATCACATTTAGTGCTACGTATACCTAAGCAAAGTCAACAAAACTTTAAAATGCAGCGTTTCATTTATTTTTTAGTTTAATATAATCATCGTAAATGTTTAACATCGTTACATGTCTTTCAACCCAACTAACATGCTTTTTAAATAATTGATAATAAAATTTATTGTATTATGCCTTTTCAAATCAAATCAAATCATTTAATCCCACACACAAAAATTTAATGACAATGAATAATGGTAATAGATGCATGTGGAGGGACACCACTCAGGTTTCGTTGTACCTGGAAGAGGGCACAACGCCGATTTTCATATAAGACACATGTAGTAGAAGAAAAAAAACATAACAACTAAAACCACAAAAATGCTTTTTTATATATATTATTTTGTATAAACCAATAAAGTATACAATTTAGTTTATTTTTTATATCGCATGAGTACTTAGGCAAATTAGCAAAATAAGACAAAGAAGGGACTTTTGATATAGAAGCCCCCATGTTGTTACAGCAGCAATAAAACACATACTTCGTAAGAATGTAAACTGTGAAGCAGCGCCGTTCTTAAGATGCAGCTTGGTGAAAAACAGCGAAGTCTTAGTAATTAGGATCCGCTTTTACCATGTGAACCCTAAACCACAACCGAACGCAAAAATCAGTATTTATTTAATTATAAGAAATCATTTCCGTCGTTTTGATTAATTAGCGGGTGATCATTTGAGCAGGAAATCGCACTAAGCGATGAATCGATGAAATAGAAATCAACTCTCCTCAAATAAAAAGACCAGTGCAGCATCGCCTCAGTGCAATTGTGTTAGTGGCAAACGCAGTACATGCGATATACTGCGAATCAGCGAAGGCACAACGGAGCAGGCGGAAAATGTTTTAGTAGAAAAGTTATTTTTCTTGTTCCGAATCAGCCAAAATGATCGCTGGGCACCTAATGCAACAGGTACTTTATAGTCATTATTAGTCACTTAACACATTTTTGTAATAATGACTTGAGATTTTTATTATTTTTTAAGTAACCAATTAAGTTTAATTTGAGGATCCATCGAGTATTTTTAGTTTTTCAATTAAATAAGAGACCGGCCGCTAATAATTTAGAACAAGTAACAAGAACAATACGGTAATATATCGTTCTTTATTCCGCTTACCTTAACGGAGTAATATTGTAGTAGAGTTGCTTTAGAGGGAGTAGGATCCATTTTTCTGCTTTTTGGTCTGATATTTGAACTTGAACATTAGATGTTTTACCTTAGTTCATTCGTTTGATAGACTTACAACTTGATACATAACTTGTGTGATGATGTACTAAAGTACATACAATACGATCTTTTTGTAAATTTCAACTAACTAGCCTTACCCAAGAGTTTAAAAGCCTTTTACCAAGATTTCGCTGTCTATTTCAAGAACAGCGATAGCAAATTAAAAGCTATTTAACCCTTACGAGATCATAAGATGGCTGATACTAGATATGCGAATACAACACAATATTTTAGCTATTTTGTGTAAAGTAGGAGATTATCACTAGGAAAACAAAGCAGGTATTTTTATTTTAACATAGGTACATTTAAAAAAATCGATTCAACAATAATTAAATAATCGATTACGATTTTTGTAGAAGGGCAAAATATTTCCTTGGAGCGCGAAAGGGTTACGATAATATCTGTAACATTTCACTTCACATGGTGTATAACGCGAACTATAGTAATTTTTACTATTAAAAAAACCATTTTTAGACGCTCGTTGTAGCCGGCATAGCACTGAGCAGTGTATCCGATGGATTCATTTTTGGACAAATGTCTGGAATGTTAGACGCACTTCACAATGGAAGGAGTACAATTACGCTAACGGACGACGATCTCTCCTGGATAGGTAATAATTATTTCTGGATTCTTAAAAGTTCTAAGTTGAATGAGGAATTCATTATTCAAAGTAAAATATAACAAGGGTAATACGAAGATATATGTATATACATTTTTGTCTCTCGGTTTTCCAAACTAATAAATGGATCCTCGCAACCTCGGAATCGGAGATAATAAGCTGAAAATTCAGACACAGCTTTATTTTGGCGTTGCGTCGATAGTCATTCGAAATCAGATATATTGCTAGTAAGATGCGTCCTCCATTTTCGTATAGTTGCGCACAGGGCAGTTTTCCTGTAGAAAAACTTGAGCCAGTTCGTCGAAAGAAGCAAGCTTTTGCAGTGATTTTACACAAGTTTTTGTCCCTTTATTAAACAACGCAGAAGTTGTATCACAACCACTAAATGCAAGAAATAGGATATGTTTCTTAGAAAGGGGATATTTGTCAAAGCTTTTTGAAGAGTATACCTCGTTTTAAAATTGCCTTTTCCAGGTTTTATCTTTAAAAATTAAAGAGTAAATATTTAACATATTTTTTTCTATTTAACATTTATTATATATATAACATATTTTTATATAATATATTGATAATTTTGTAACTGTATATGACATTACTAGAGTTGGACGGTTGACCTTCTATTACAGCTTTTGTGTGAGCGCTAGATGCCCTCCGCGGTGTATCTTGTAAAGGGTTGGGCGTATCGAAAATCAGTTCAGACAAAAGTTGTGGGAAATTTTTATAATAGGTGTGAAAGTGATTGGAGCGATAGAAAGAGAGATAGTTAAAAAATAAACTGATTTTCGCGATCTTTGACCTCGAATAACTATCGACGCAGACACGAGATCATAATATGAGACTTTTCAGTCAAGTTTTAGAACGCCAAAATAAAGCTGTGTCTGGATTTCCAGCTTATTATCTCCGATTCCGAAATTCCGGTGAAACCCTAAGGTGACTGGACTATTATTGTATCTCACGTTTCAACGACGCATTTATGCAAATTGCTTTATATGTGAATAAACCTCATTTATCATATAAGAGGTTATAATTTAGCTGTAAAACAAAGGCTCTAATTATGTATACATAATACAAATATTTTTCACGTATTAAGTTACCTGCGTAATAGACTTATTTTGATATTTGATTGAGATATGTTTTGATATTTGACACCTAACACGTGTAAATTTCAACTACGATATCTTACATAATAAAAAATTATTCATTGATATAAAAAAAATGTCATGATCCACTGTTACATAACTTCAAGTAACAGTGCGTAAATAAATTGTATAACTGCAATTAAATATTACTTAATAGTAAAAAAACTGTTTTAATATTATTAATACACTGGAATCCTCGTTCGAACGTTTGCTATCATATTAAATAAATAGTTTAGTAATAATTACTGACATTATTAAAAGAATGTTAGTTACTACGAGTTCTGTACACATACATAAACACTTTAATTAATTAAATGTCATTTGTTTCTCTTGCTGAAGCTCGCGTAGGACTACGCCGCTTAACATTACAAACGAAGATACAGTGACAGTTGATTATCGTTAGGATAGTATGCTTATTAACCGTTTTAAACATAAATGTGTATACATAAACAATCATAAAATTGTAGGAATAACTTATTGGACGAGTCAATAAATCTCTATTTTAAGAGAAATAATGATATTGTATTTACATTATATTAAATAATGAAATTTTATATAAAAGAAATAATATCGTCTAGTTAACTATTACATAGTCTGCGAAGCGTTTTTAAATCTCTAGTAGTTACAGAACCACGTCAGTTTTTCCAATCAGGAAGCGACTGATGAAGATCTTATTTTATCAAGATTTTTTTATTATTTTTCATATTATATATTTTATAGAATTTATTAAAGATTTACCGATGATTAAAACTGATACGAGCCCTGCCGGCATCAGTAATGATTTCGAACTTAAAAATATATTCATTCTTTTATTTTCTTTATCGTTTCCGTTGCAGCTTCGACAATTAACGTCACTTGCTTTTGCGGTTTCGTACTAGTGGGAGTGGTGACGGAGATATTCGGGAGGAAGAGATGCGTAACCGTCGCGACCATTCCCGGCTTAATATCCTGGATATTGACGTACCTGGCTCAAGACAAAACCACTTTACTCATTTCCAGATTTCTAGCGGGAATATCGTACGGCGGAATCCTATTTATCAGTTACATTAACATAGGGGAATACATGTCGCCGAGCATTCGCTTCTTGTCTTTCAACATGCTCGTCTGCGTTGGCTCTTTGTTGGGGACCATGTTCGGGCACACGTTGAGCGTATTGATGGACTGGAGGCACGTCGCCCTCGTCGGATTGATCCCATCTTTTCTATCGGCAATCATACCTTGCTTCTGGGTAGAGAGCCCGATGTGGTTGGCCGGGAAAGGCCGATTTGAGGAATGCGAGAAAGCGTTCAGAGCTCTACGCACTCCGGGGGAACCGGCCGAAAAGGAATTGAAGCTTCTGCTCGCCGTCGAGAAGGAAAAGAAGAAACAATACGCGCAACAGACCGGAAAAACGCCGATATTGTTTAAAATTATTAAGAACGCTTTAAAACAACGGTATTTCTGGAAAATCTTTGTCTTATCGCTGATCATTAATATATACAGAGTGTTCGCCGGACGAATATTGTTCAGTACGTTAGCCATAACGATACTGCAGGACATCACGGGTACGTCTGAGATTCTGTTGTTCACGCTGGTGACCAATGGCTTCGCAGTGTTGGGCGCCGCCCTGTCTTGCCTTCTCTTGCAACGGCTCAAGATGAGGCAACTGTTATTCTCCTCGGGGCTCATAGCCAATCTTTGCCTCATCGCTTTCGGCCTCGTCCTCTTCTTGAAGCCCGACAAAGACGACACCTTCAATTGGGTGAAAGTCTTACTTCTCGCGTCTTATTTGGTGATAGTGGGCGCCGGGCCGTATCCGGTGTTAGAATCGGCCCTAACGGAGATAAACCCTTTGGAATTGAAGACGACCTTGATTTTCTCAATGGGCATCATCACCGGAATAATTCAATTCCTAGTAATAAAATTCACCCCGGCTATGTTCATCATTATCGGGTACTATGGAGTTTTCTTCATTAATGCCAGTGTCATATTTTTATGTCTCGCTTACATGTGGTTCTATGCACCGGAAACCAAAGGCAGAACCTTGCAAGAAATCGAATTGTTCTTTAAGAATGATAACTTAGAAACTAGTAATATCCTGCAGCAAGAGCAAATGAAAGAATTGTTAGGCATTGCCAGGACACAGGCAGACGATACTATTGTATAAATGGGACAGAGAGAATAACAAGCCATTAAATTATGATTTTTCTCAGAACATGACAGATATGTATAGAAGAAAGAATGTATAAAACAATCTAGTCGCAAATTCACAATTATGATCAAATGATTCCATAAATAATATCTACTGTTTTGAGTGGGTATTAAATTGTTTCGCTGTAATTGTATCTTTACTATTTATATCGCTTTAAAATCTATTAACGAAAACTATTTAATTTGTTTACATGTCCCTTAAAGGCTTGGGCACACCAAAAGCAGGGCAGGCGCAGCACCGTTGCAGCGCAGGTCAGTTGCGCCACGGTTGATGTCACACCAAAAACATGAGCAGTTTGAAAGCAGTTTAAGTGCGGTTCCTGCTTTATAACTGCGCTAGGTGTGTCGTATCGATCGCCATACTAAGTAAACTACTACTACTCCTTAGGTCGTAATAAAGATCTCAAATTTACTTACTTCATTATCATATAAACATTTACCAACTCCATCAATTTTTCATTTGGTTTCATGATAAATTTGTAAAAAATTACAACCGTTTAGCAACTGCGCTGCGCCTGCCCCGCTCATCTGCTCTGGTGTGAACAGTCTAATGGCGGACGTAGTATACAACGCGTGCTAACTGCGGCGGTCAAAGTGTTTTGTGTAAGAGCAGCGTGTGCTCGGCGCGGTAGCGCAGCAGTTAGGTTCAGCGGGCCCGCGTTTGTTCGGTGTGTCGTCCCTCATATAACTACATTATTTACAAACGTAGACGGAAACGTAAACGTGCTACCGCACTGCAACTGCTTTAGGTGTGCCCAAGCCATGAAAAAATGTACTCTTTACCGCACAACTAGGTGTAATTCCCTCGAAAGTCTCAATAATAATATAATTTTAAAGTGAATCAATTATGTTTAATTGTTTAATTATGTTCTAAGAACTTGGGATGTGTTAGGTTAAAATTGTACATTGTAATTTTTTTATAAAATAAAACTTTTTCCATAAACTCTGTTTTAATCGGTCACGTGAACTGACGCACAATAAACGAATATTTAGCACTTGTGATTTGAGTCACGCTCATTTGAGGCTAACAACAATACGTTTATGCAATGATGATGTTACATACAATTTTACAAATTTTAGCTTAAGTTAGGTTAAGAGCTCATCTATTCATGATTTTTAATTTGAAAAGTAAAAATAACGGATATAGTTAGGCCGCTCGATCTTGGGTGAATATTCTAAGTGTCAATATTTGTTAAACTTTTTAAAAACATGGCACATTAGTACAGTAACATGGGCATCTCCTCCCACTCACAGCAATTCTTAGACGCTCTTATTACTTATTACATCTATACTAATATAATAAAGCGGATTAAGGGAATCAAGGAAGGCTATAGGCTATAACACATCACGATGCGACTAATAGGAGCGAAGAAACAGCGGGAAATGGGGAAAATTATTCACCTTAGGGGATTTCCAATCCGTAACGCTGCAAAAATGGTTCAATATACCCAAAAAATATTAACGAAAGAATTCTTCTTTAAAGAATCAAAAAAAAGTCCGCGACACTTTAATATGTGTATCTTTTAAGATTAACTTGCAAGAACGTCAGGACGCGACCGACGTCGTGAGTAACAACTTAAGATAAGAAGGAGGCTTGCAAAAACAAATTTGGATGTCCGAAATAACTATTCTACGCAGACGATGTCGTTTACCAGTTAGGGGGGGAATTTGCAAAGGATAACAACGTAAATAAATAGCAAATTATGATTATTAAATCAAGATTTTATTCTCGAATGTATATTTTAGTCCAGGTAATTGAAAGCAAATTATATTTGACAATCAAATCAATTGAGCTATTAAACAATTTAATCTTCAGAGAAGACCAATGGCAGAAACTACGCGCGCAGGCGCCCTTGCTTTGTAAATATATGAACTGCAATTATTAACATCAGTTCAGTTTTCACGCGAATGCAGCCGCGGATGTGTCAATATCCTATTTTGTGCTTATAGTTTTGATTTCCTTCGTTTCGTTTAAGTGACGAGGTAATTCTATACTCTGTCTATTATGGAATGACAAAGACATGGTGTGATAATTAACAATTTGTCAATATATTGTATGATACATTTATTTATTATATAAAATAGTTACCTTAAACGTGTTACGTTATATAGATTATTTAATATCATATATCACGACCTTCTTTAGGTCTCATTAGAAATAACTCAATTCTATTTGCGCTTGAACCAATATAAGACACTTGTTGCTACAAACGAAAGCACATTCGTCGTTTGGTTACGAGTAGTTATAGTGAAGTCGCGAAATTAAGTGTTGGTACTACATTAGAGCATCTGCAAGTGCTAAACTGAAACGATGCAAAAGCAGACATTACATCAGGTACCTTTTAGACTTCTAAATAACTAGAATATATAAAATGACAAATATTTCACCCAATATCACCAAGCAATTATGACACGTTATATTTTTAATTTAATAGAATAATCCTTGTAGCTCTTAAATGTATTCTAAGATCTATTGCACGTGTGGATAAGTCGGTTCCAGCTGACATTGTCGATATAAATTTAAACAGCAAATACATAATATGTAATAATTTAATTCAAAAAAATATACATTAATATTTTTTATACAGTTCTTTACAATGAATCATATAACTTAATACGTAGACAAAGTTTAAAGCTTCCCCCATCATTATCCTTTCAGATACTCGTTTTCGTTGGATTAATGCTGAGCAGTATTTCCGATGGATATATTTTTGGTCAGACGTCGGGTATGATAGACGTACTTCGGACCGAAAACACGACAATGTCTATCACTGAAGATGAACTTTTTTGGATTGGTGAATAATTTAACCACTGTATCTACTAGAAGATAAAATTCAATATTAAATCGTATGTCAAAGTTTGCCCCTGTTTCAGCATCATCGGCAAATATTACGTGCTTCTGTGGTTTCGCCATAGTCGCGATTCTGACAGAAATACTCGGCAGAAGAAAATCATTAATAATACTAAATATTCCCGTTCTTGCCTCTTGGATAGTCGTATTTTTCGCGAAGGACATGGTCACGTTGCTGCTGTCGCGGATCGTGCTGGGAGTTTCTTACGGAGGAGTTCTGATGCTGACGTACATCTGTGTCGGTGAATATTCATCGCCGAATATAAGATCTCTCTGCTTGAATCTTATAGCATCTGTGGGATCGCTGATCGGAACTGGCCTGGGACACATGCTCAGTTTATTGGTGCATTGGAGAACCGTCGCCCTGATAGGCGTCGTCCCTTCGTCGTTGGCCGTCGCAGTGCCGTACTTCTGGGTGGAGAGTCCCGCTTGGCTCGCATCGAAGGGGAGGTTTGAAGAATGCACGAGAGCGTTTCATGCGCTGCACGTCACTAACGATGTCACAAAAGAAGAGTTATCTTTACTTATCGCCACCGAAAGAAACAATCAAAGAAAAATTAGGAAACATCGATTCGAATTGATGTTGATTATTTCTAAAATTTCTTTCGCCATAAAGCACAAGTACTTTTGGAGAATTAGCATTTTGAATACCGTCGTCAATATTTACAGAGTAGCGGGCGGCCGAGTGCTTTTTAGCACTCTAGCCATCACGATCTTAAAAGACATCACCGGCGATGCGGATATTTTGAAAGAGACGCTCTTTGTCGATATATTCTTTATCCTCGGAGCTTTGATGTCTTGCGCTTTAGTGAAGAGATTTAAGACAAGAAAATTACTCTTTACCTCCGGCATCGCAGCAAACATTCTGCTCGTAATTTTAACACTTGTCATATATCTACATCCCGGCAAAGATGACAAGTTCAACTGGATAAAGGTCACGCTTTTTGCCGTTTACTTCATCACCATGATGGCGGGTCCTTACGCCGTTTTAGAAACATTGCTGATAGAAATAATTCCACTAAGTATAAAAAGCTTTTTTATTTTTTTCTTTGGCGCAGTGATTGGTGTTTTCCAGTTTATGGCCGTTAAATTCGTGCCGAACATGGTGAATACGATGGGCTACCATGGCATATTTTCCGTCAATGCAACAATAGTATTTCTGTGTTTGGCATACCTTTGGTTTAAATTACCGGAAACTAAAGGGAAATCTCTAGAGGAAATCGAAAATTACTTCAAAGATGATAGATTGACATCTATGAGCTCAAAACTAGGAACTGACGAGTGTGGTTATGGAATGCTTTCAACGACCGCAACAAAACAATAATGGAACAATTTGTATAGATTAATAAATTTTTAAGATTACTACTATATTACTTTTATTTATTTCTTTAATAACGCATACTAACATGATTGTTATCTTTCAAGACTATTCTCACATATTATGTAAGGGTTTACGTTACACAACAGTTATTACTTCATTCCATCGTTAAGTATTAATAATAACTAGGATTATTATTTTTATTAAGTGACATTTGTAAAACTTTCAGTAAAATAAATGTCTTACAGTTAATTGAGTTTTCTTTAAAAAAACATGCAACATGCTATATACTGTCTATAGATTACGAGAGTAATACAAAATTTAAATAAAACACTTTAACGGTTTAAAACGCGATATATTTTAGTTACTAGTAACTTGTTTAACTAAAATATATCAAGTCAATTCTCAAGCAAGCAAGGACCCGGCCAGTTTCGCCAAATACCAACTTCGACGGAACAGATGGCGCCAGCATAGCAATTTTGACTGGGACGTCAGAGACATCCTCCATCCTATATTCTGATTAACATAATTGGTTAAAAGACAGCTCAAACGTAAAATTGTCTAAGGCCAAATAAACCTCCATTTGTTTCGGGAACATATAGACATCTAGACAGCGGTTCGAACTTAGATGCATTTGCAAGGAAATTGAATTGCGTCGGTTGAGGCAAAGTATAATAATGTAACAATTCCACGAACGTTTAATTACCTCTCACTTAGTTTGACAGTTCGGTAAAACGATTCGACCGAGATGAGATTATTCAAGCCGGTAATTAATTATCAATTATTGCAATAATAAGTCATTACAGGCTTAATTGAGCTATTCCAGTATTGTATTTGATCGAGTTTATTTCCGGTAATTTGTGGTTAATTACTCAATTGTGATTCTTGACTTTCACAAGTAATTTGAATATATTTAAATAAAACACTTCAACGGTTGAAACCGCGATGTATATTAGTTTAACTTGTTTGAAAATCATTTTTACTACGGCCCGACGTTTCGGATGCTTTTCAGTAGCCCTGGTCACGGGGAGACACGTGTATATTTTGCGTTTTATTTAAATGTACAAAATAATAAAGAATTTATATGGCAACTAAGATAAACATTGTTAATATCTTAGGTTAAACTACAAAGAAATATTTGTATCGAATTCTGGTCAGTATAAAAACTCCATATTACAAGCTGAATGTAAGATCTAAGCATTGTAAATATCTTTTTCATATAGAATAATAGGTGTCATAACATTGCTTGGAATTACTTCCGATACTGTTTTTTGTTACAGTGAGAATCTTATATTTCTTAAGTTTTTTATCTGAATCATTCAACAAATAGGTCGCATTGTTATTGTTTACTAATAAAACCTATTAGTTGAATAGAAACATGGAAAAAATCTCATCCACCTAACCTAGGCCACGTTCAGCCCGCCTACTTACCATATAGCCGCGCAAGAAGATTGTGGACAGTTTTCCAGCGGCGCGCAGAGTAGCAATTCCTAAAACGTACCAAATCTACTAACAATGTACAAGATGCCTACTAAACTGGATTGGGACTGTCTTTTGGTTTATCAGCCAAAGTGTAGCATCTCCATCAGAATTAAAGAACATATCGCGGACATCGAACTACAACATTGTTCCAACGAGAGGACACCGAGAGTAAGTTCTATAAGGACCTAGCCAGTTTCTTCAAGTACCAGCGACGAGGAAACAGATGGCGCTAGCGTATCAGATTAGACTTTGACACTAGGGACAGGGACACCATTCATCTTCAAGCCCTTATAACCACGGCTGCTGCAAAGCGTCCGATTCGTCGGGCTGCAGTTAAAATATATTGTAAATAAGGTAACAAATATAAGTCGCGTTTTAAACCGTTAAAGGTTTTTTTTAATCGCGTTAAATAGGCAATACTTTACAGAAAGTGGTAATTCATGGTCTACGACTAAAAAATGTAATTCGTAGAGTAGTCAACACTGCAAAGAACAAAACAGAAATGAAGGTGGCAAAAGAGGTTCATATAAAAGAAACGATTGAGAAATGAGGACATTTATTACGATAAAATATACTAATGATATACAGTGACGTATCACAATACCAAACCTCATAAACGATCTCGTCATAATATAAATGAGAATTTTTAAAGGCACAACAATTTCTATATATTATATTCGCAGCTAGCGATGGATTACCAACGAGGTGCATCACGCTCGACGGCACACTTTTAACAGAGGAATTGTAGAATGTTCGCATCAAATAATTAGTAGAAAGAGTAGCTTTTATTGAAATATTTATGCGTTCTTGTTGATATTCCATCACTAGTCGCGTATTTTTATATTAAATTTAATTATTTACATATAACTATAAAATAACTAAGCTTAAACTTATTTAATATATAACCTTTTGACGTTTGATAACCGGTGTTGATACACTTTCTTTGCTGTATTTTAAACTAACAACTGTGTATACATTTCAAGGAAACCAAACGGAAGCGCTTAAACCTAAATAGACGTATTGGCATAAAATAAACAATATATTATTTATATTTTCATTGAGGCACGTTGATTATAATCAATGTTAGCGACATATCACAAACACTTAACATTCTTTCGCCGAGTTCATTACATGTATGTACGTGTGCTTACGAGTCTACTATATAAATTAATTTAAAACGTTTGTCTGTTACCCACGCAACATTGAAAAGTTGAACAAAATTTAAAAACTGCAAGAAAGGTAAAAACTATTTCATCTACGTATCCGTAACTGAATTAAATGTTCATTAAGAAAACGATCTTAACACGCGATCTTAATGATAGTTTTTTTTTTAAATGTCCAGAAATTATTGAAATAGCAACACTGTAAAACTATTACAGACAGTAACAGATTACGGCAAATACGAACCTAAGCACATGCAGACGTTAGATCTGAGCCGGCAAGTCTTTGTAGAGAGCAGATGTAGTTGTTGTCGTTTCAATTCGGTATAAATATTTAACTAGAGGCACTAAATACTTTGTGATCAAGAAAGTGTACAGAAGCTGAGGATTTATAATTAAAGAGGAGTACCTCGAAGGGCAAAGAAAGAGATGCGTTGCGGTCAGTCGGAGTCGCTGCCGGACTCGGAGAGGCAGAGGTCGTCGTTGAGGACGTCGGTTGGCAGTGCTGGGTTAGTGGAGGTACCTGAAAAGAATTACTCGCCGTTTGAAGTGATTTAAATAACAAAATTAACGACTCCAAAAGCAATATATATATATATATATTAGTTAAATTTATTTGGAAATTATTGTAACTACTGGTCACAGACCAAAGAGTCCCTATGTCAAAGTAAAATCGGCTACTCTAGCGCCATCTGTTCCGCCGTTGTTAGTATTTGGCGGAAAAATATAATTTCCAAATAAGTTTAACTAATATATATCGCGTTTTAGGCCGTTGTTTTATTTAAATTATTCGCGTAAACAATAGACAATATTTCATTTGAAATAATACATGCCGATCTAAAGAACATTGCTTCGACTCTGAATATGGACTAAACGTTAGTGGAAGGTGATGCTTACCGTTAGGCAGCGGCTGCTGAGCGCTGGGCTCGTTATCATCGCTGTCACTCCCGCTTCCACTGTCGCTATCGCTATCACTTGATGAGCTCGAGGAGCTATCTTCTTGTCGCTGTTGCTGCAAAGAAAATCCACTACTAATAAGTCCCAAGTAATTAACCCTAAAGAGTTGGATGACCCAAATCTCTGCAAGGAGGAAATGGGGAAATGGGTGAAATGGTAGCGGACAACGTGGATGATCCGTCCTGCCGGGTGTCCCCGTAGAAAATAATAATTAACCCTAAACCAAGTTGCTTAATGTTAACACATTTTTAAAGTTAGCTCTAAGAATTTCCTCTATTAAGTCTTTGGATTATAAATGAAATATTTTTAACGGGTTAAAGCGAAAGAATATTACTTATTTTTTTTTAATCATTTATTTTATTTTAATTACGACGCGACATTGCGAATCTTTTGCTAAAGATGGAAGGTGTCCGTCCCTATTGTAAAACTCAAAGCGTCTATGCTATCCTCTGTCTCGTCGTAAATGGTTCTCCAAATCCTATTATATTTAATTTAAATGTGTACAAAACGCGTATACTACAGACAATAGGTCTTTCAAAGTTCTTTAAAATTGTTCAATAATGCAACAACAGTTTGTAGACTTACCACGGATGGTTGTACTGGTGCAGGGGGTGGTACATGCCTAGAAGGGTGGGCATTGTAGGACCCGGTGTGGGGGGCGTGTATCGGGGGAGGGTTGTGTGGGGCCTGTGGAACATGGGACGTTTGGTTGTGAAGCGAGTGAGCTGCGTGGGGCGGTTGCGGAGCGCTAGGCGCGTGTCGTTCGCTCGCCGCCGCTCCCCCTGGAGCGTCATCTAGACCGATCATCGGTAGGGACGCTAATGTGCTGTTACCGCCGGCTGACCAACTGAAAAAATTAAAAGCAGTCATATTTAGAAAAATTACTTTATTTTAATAAAACACATTTTAGATTTTACGAAAAAAATTTACGACACGGGCAGGGCTCGAATCAGCATCCACTGCGTTCCGTGCTATTGCTCTAAGCGATTGAGCCACCGTGTCTTACAGAATGTGGAAAAATTTGGTGGGGGGGGGGGAAATTAGGGAGAAAAATGTATGCGGTTCTTAGATATAGATTATTAGCTATAAGTTAGTCTTAAGGCAAATGGCAATAGCTGTAATTAAATAAATAAATGTTATCGTTGAAAAATCAACAATTTAAAATTTTATGTCTATTTAATGCTAGACTTCAACTTGAAAGGACTAGGTTTAACTTTTACTTACGGCGCTTGGGGTGGTGACGTTTTGACCCTGGGAGGAGATCTGACCATATTATTTTGAGTTTTAGGCGCGCCACCATTAAATCGCTGATGATGAGTCACTTGGGTGGACATACCTCCAGTACCTGAAAGTACAAAATTGAACTTTGACTGGCTCCTTGGGCTAATGACAATGTAAGACCAATAATCATAAAATTGATGATTATTAGGTACAACATGTTTCTAATTCAAAATATGTTTTTCCTGAAATTTAATGGACTTGTCTGGAAATCTCGAAATAAAATGAGTGGTAAGAATATGGAAATTCCCATCCAAACCACAGATGAAAAAGCTGTGAAGTTAAATCGCGTTACGGTTTCAGTCTGTAGATTTCTGATCATCCAAAGCCAAATAGGTCTTGAGTGATACTCAAGACCTGTATTGTTCATACCAGTATTGTTAGTCCGCCTGTTAGTAGCAACACGCGTACGAGATGTAGATCTTTGAGTAGTGTTGGTGAGATCACTAGTTATTGGAGTAAGAGGTCGCGGCTTTTGAGTCGATTCTTGCCTGAAAGCAAATACGTTTTATGCATTGGCTGTATATATAAACCTTATTAGTATATATCATAAAAGTCAAAATTATTCTTAAGCTAGGTATATGAGCTAATATAATCGAGTTAAAAAACTGTATTTTTTGTTTACCTAGTTTTCTTAACTTGTATATTGCTTGATAATTTTTCTAGTGTAATTTCTCCTGTATCCCGGTCTATAATGAGCACACATTCTTTAGTGTATGGCCTCTGGTTACCTTTGAAAACAGTTTGAGGTATACCCGCACCATCTGAAAACCATAATAATGTCTGCGTATTAACAATTGTTATAATTAACTGATAAGTACAGTTAAAGAGTTTGTAATAAATATGTACTTACCTAAGTGTGGCACAGTAACAGTAACTTGGTTATTACTACCAACATCCACAGTTGCCATCTTATTCACGTCCACAGAAGCAGGCTTGAAGTCATCTAAAGTAAATAATTAGTGTTTTAGTTACACATTAACTTATACAAATGATGTTCAAGGGTCAATTTTGAATCTAGGATAAATACTCACATTTTATGGTGTGATATTGGGATGCCTTGTTGTTGGTAAAACTGGTACCCAATTTTAATTCTCTCACCTCATAATTTAAGCTGTGTTTATCAGCCATCTTACCCTAAATGGCCATATGTTTTTTTTCTGAAAAGTATAAAGTTTAGGAATAAATATATGAGCAAATGTTTAATATAATTCAGTAATTGTTATTCGATAACAAAACTAGATAAGACAGTTGCAACGACTACAGCGTACTTTTTGTTTTTCTAAAAATTAGAATGTTACGCGGACACTTAACATTCAAGCAAATTTATCTTTTTTCCTAAAAAATGACGTTAAAACTTGTACAATCATATGCTTTATTTCCGTCTACCTTTCATGTACATATCAATATTTCGAAATAGTTATGAATTACTTCTTAATTTTAACTTATAATAGGCTCAAATTCATAAAATATGGCATATCATTCGATTTACCTTATTGGTAGTTACTTTACCTGAATGTGACGACTGCAATACTGAGTTCGCTAAATAAGGTGAGGTAACATTATCAGAACAATTTGAAGCGAGAAGACATTTAAAAAATTTAAGCGAAGATAGTTAAATTATTACAAAAACGCATAAGATCACTCTCTTCGACTTTCGACCTATTTTCGGAAATCGGAATTCCATTGACGACTTGACGAATGACGATTGACGGTGACAGCGACGTCCAAACAGATGTTTTCCCACAGAAAATAATGTATGAATCAAATTAATGAGACACCGTTGTCTGTGGAACACTTAGTTATCAGTAGCAGTAGTTGACACTAACACCAATGTAGACAATTGACTGGTAATCATATAAAACCTTTTGTGGGGGTTGAAAGATAAAACCAGTCAAAACCATAGCAACAATGACTAAAAAATCAATAACATTAGATGTTGATCCGACAATCATGGAAAAAAACATGCGAATAGTTAAGGTAAGTAGTTACTACAGTTTCAATGTCTAATGTATAGCATTTATATGTTATTTTCTATACTTTCCGGTTTCAGGATAACCCGGTGGAGGAGGAAATTAATAAACTTTTTGTGCCCAAAGATACTTATCCTTACAAAGTAGTCCAACCAACCCCAGGTATAGTAGTCATACATTTTTCGTTTTGTGGATACAGTAGACTTAAAATTCAAGTAATATGGTATAGATGTTTTTCCTTACAGGGTTTTGCGTTAAGACATTTACTAAGCCAGACAATAAAAAAGTATTTGTTAATGTATGCTTGACTGATGCAATACCTTGTCCTCGTGACATTACTAATGATGAACTAATGCAAATTCTCAGCTCTGAGGATCCATCCAGCTATAGAGTGCCAATGAGTATCGGTGAGGGTAGAATGGATCCTGATAAGTCAGGCATCCCTGCCACAGTATATGATGTCGCTATTAATCCTGACTTTTTTACAAAAATAGAGAAAGATGATCTTTTCCAAACATTCTTTATTACTGTAGTATTTGAGGGTTTGCAAGATAAATATCAGTTTGAAATAGACATGACTAAGTTTACAATTCTTAAGAATAGAAAGAGTATTGGCAATCTGCAGTCTCATAGGATTCAAGTCCGAGATGTAAAAAATTGTGAAGAAAAAATTAAACCTTTAATTGAAGAAATAAAGGTCAAGGATGTGTGTAAGAAGGATATATCTTACCGACTTAGAAGAGAACCTCCAACAGGAGAAATACAGTATCTTTTGGCTGAATTCAAAATTCCTGCTTCTGTAAGTTTCTGTATGTGAAATTAGTGTAAATATGGTGTCTCATTTATTGTCAATTTGCATGTAAACAAAACTTTTAATTATTTCTGACAGTATTCTTAAATTACAGGTAGAATTGCAAGATCTCAACTTGGAAATTGGTGAAGACAGAGTAGTTTTAGATTGCAAGGGACCGTATGAACCTGTGGATTTCTTTCTACCTTGCAGTGTTGATCAGGAGGTTATTGACGCGCAGTTGAACAGAAACATTGAAGTTAGTATCTTTTTCACAACTTTTAATGTAAGTCCAGAAAAATATACTCTTTTTAATTATTTTTTTTAATTTCAGATGCTATCGGTGAAGATGCCAGTGATTCATTGATTCCTTAATGAAACTAGATCTCTCTCTAAAGCTGATATTTTATGTTTCTTACAATTAGCAATAAAAATACTCTATTTGCATCAAATATTTTTAACTTACACAAAAATTGTAAGATTTTATAAGAGATTCACAAAGTGTTTGTTTAAATTTGGTTACCATAATTTAAAATAGAGACACAAAGAACTAGTTAATATATATTAACAATGATTATTGTATATGTATAAAAATGCAATTTATGTTAGAATATTAGAAAGCTAGTAATATTTATCTTATAAACAATATTGGTATGGTTTTGTTGAGATTTCCATATCTAGTAACTAGTGACTGGTTGAACTTATGACATACTAAGCTAAAAGTACATACATCAAAATTGTACTAGTCGTTTGTCAAAAATAACATTAATGTACATAGGCATCACTCAATATCACAAAATGCAAATACTATAATCTCAGATCTAAATAGGTTTTAGCTAAAATTGGATTGAGTGCTATGCTAATTCTACTAATTATTTGGAGATGCTTGAAAACATCCCCATTGCACTATTTGTTAACCAAGAAGTGGATACATTTACAATTCGTCCTTTAAGTACTGGCTTTTAATGTCGAAACTTTGAAACTTAGCTAGGATGTCTTCGCTGTAGTCTTTCACGTGGGGCTGCAGGTCGTCCCAGATTTGAGTATAACCCGAGACGGGAATGTTGACGACCGCCCGATACGGTTGCCGCTCGTTTTTGTTTAGGTATATGCGCATGGTGGGGTAACTGGTGATATACTCCTGGTGGCAGACGGCGTGCTCCGATATACAGTTCACCTTTCCGAAGTTTATCACGTTGTTGAGGTGCTGCAATAATTAAAATACAAAACCCATTATTCGATGAAAGGCAGGCGACGGACGCATTTCTGTGTCCGTTTAACGTTGGTCTAATGGTAGCAATGTATAGTTATAATGTTTCATCGAGTTCAGCATGTTTCACATCAATTCAAAATTATTCTGAAACACGTTGAACTATGCCAGGAAGACGACATTATTAAATGGGTCGTACAAATATCGAAAATTAATTTCAGTTTGTGGATATCTAAAGCCAAAATAAGTCGACTGCACATCTTACATGTAATATTTCACCTTTAATCAAGTGATGCCATTCTCTGTCCTTTACCAAATTTTTTTAGATTTTTTTACCCTGACCGACTAGAACAATTTATAGTCGCCGGATCAGGATTCAAACCAGAACTCCTCGTGCTTTATGCGATGCTAGGTAACGCATTTAATATAGAGCGACGATACGAGACAAGTCTGCTATTGTACTTACGTGAGCTACTATCGCAAAGTCTGTGTACATTTCATAGCACCTGTAGCACCTCGGCGAATGGAAATATACAACCCACGGTTTTTCGTCCCTGAAAACCAAAGATATGTATTCAAATGCCCTCGAGAATTACTTCTTTGAAACATCCGATTATCTCCTTATTATGCATAAATATATCACACTCTATAAAACTTTTTTGGTATGTCTTAGAGTAATACTTTTCATAATGTAGGCTCTACCAATAATAATGTTATAAAGTAAAATTGTGCACCTACCCGTCGTTCTGTTGGATTTTATTTTGAAATGTTCGGGTGTTAATTTTTACAACAGAATCATCTATGTAGTTTAGCGCCCATTCCAAAATGTAAGCCGATTTGGATAGCTGCTGCAGGGGAATGCTGTAAACAAAAATTATGTTCATCTTGAGTCACATTAAAAAATAAATTAATATTTATATATATTATTCAATAGGACTTACGTAAAATGTCGCCCCGAAGCCAGGGGATAAACACGTAGGGTGGGCGAACGTACGTTTGCACAAAAGGCCCCGTTGCCTTCGCTTCGCTTACACCAGAGGGCGCCCACTCGGACGAATTTTAAGGGACGTAACTTTAAATTAACAATACGTAAGTTAATTGTTAAGATTTAATTAAAATTAGACGCATGTATCAATTGGTCGAAGAAATTCGAAGATGACGCGTGAGATTTTTAATTTACGTAAAATAACACGATAACTTTGAATTATGGTTAATTAATTTGCCTTAGTTCTTTTGTTATGTTTTTAAAGCAAATATTTTTTTTGTTACATGTTTCTATAATATAGATTAAAATCGAGTATACATTGAAAAAAATTACGACACGAACAGGACTCGAACTGGCATCCACTGGGTTGCGTGCTGGTACGTGGACGGTAGCTCAAGTGGTTAGAACAACAATGTATAATCGATTTTTTATTTATATATTGCCATCCTGTGAAAAATATTAAAGTTTTGAAGTGAATTTAGGTTGTAAGTAAGTCTCAAAGTAAGTGAAACAGTTCCCAACTCACCCGCTTTGAGACTATTCTCATTTCGTGCATAAGGTCGTCACAGTCTTCCCCGCAGTGTCGAGGAAAGAACGCCACCAGCCAAGTGCTTTCTCGGCTCCACACGTCGCTTATCTCCAGTACTTGTTGCTCGTTCAGACTGAAGTCTGAAAGAGCAATGGTGGTGTTTCAGTATGTGAAGACCGTTATCTTGAATGGGGTCCACCAAAGGAATAAGCTTGTCTTGAAGATAGGATAAAACCTCTGAATCTGATTTACTTCGAGTTTAGCCCGATTTCGGTAGAAGTGAAATCGTTGCTTCTTTGCAATTTTATGGCGAGCAGTACACATTCATATAAAACATATTGAATGGTTTAAAACGCGACATATTAGGTAACTTATTTTGAATATTTTGGAACTACTAGCGCCAACTATTGTATCGTAGTTGATATTATAACATAAATAAACACGATACACGAGCCGAAAAAATAAGAATTCAAAATAGCCCACCATCGATGTCTTTTATTAAGTCGACAAACTCCACAATACCAGCTTTGTCCACTTCCCCGCGATACCTGAAATCGATTTTTAATTAAAAAGAAGACGTTTCCCAAAGACAAAACCTTTATTAAACAATAAAAATTAAAATAAGATATCGTAAAAGAAGTAATGGTCGTCTTGCACATTGTCTAGTTTTGATTATTAAGTTTCTTTCAACTTGGGATCACATTAAGCGTTACACTAAATAGTTGTTAAAATTTAATTGTGCATCTGTGTGTTTTGTGTATCAAAGTGTGCAATAAATCATGTTTAGCTTTGTATTGATAAACAATACCTGTGCAATTTCCCCCTCTCTTGTACGGCCACAATCGCCTTGTTAGATACCTTTCGGCAGTAATCGTCCGTGTGCGCACTGCACGAAATTATACCGAACTGTAACAGAAACGTTCGAACTCGATAGCTATTCGCGTAGTTTATAACGCACTTTTAACGGTTGAAAACGCGTCATGTTTCATGTTTATAACAACAGTATTTCGGCGTGGGGTCAAAGTGGAAATTGTATTGTTATTTTCGCATTTCAATCCGGTGGGAGCGTTTTATTTAACCGACCCTAATATAAGCTAAGCATTTCTTTTGTATGTAGTGGCCTGTTCTAAATCATTAAATTGTGATAGGTCCTGGGTTGGCTAACTAAGGATTTTGCATAAGTGATACTCACACTAAATCCTAACTCTCTGAAGGAAATCGCGGCTTCTATAAATGGCTCGAACATGTGTTCCCATGTTGTCTTATGTGGAGCTATTATCAGCACCCACGTGGTGGCCTCTGCAATCATTTCGTTATTAGTTATAGGCTTATGTTTGAATACTTAGATATTAATAATAGTGAAAAACCACCGTGACCCGAACCCACTACCAACGGCACACCGTGCTGTTGCTTTACAAATTGAACCATGAGCAACAACTAGAAATTCACATAACTAATAAAATTACAAATACTTATGTGCAAATGTGTTCCGTACCATCCTCAAGGATCCTCTTAAAGTCAGCGGCAGAGAGGGTGTGCAGGTTATAAGCGGCAACACATTTTTCTAGAATCTCAGGCGTCGGTTCCACGAACAGCCTTTGGTAGCCGCCACCTGGCTTCAAGATCCCCCAAGCCGGGGCTTTATTTACTTGCAGGGAGTGACATAACTCGCCCAGTTTCTCACAATTTATTTCACCTGAAAACAATATTTCAAAACTTTAGTATTTTCACATGTATATATAGATTAGTGAGAAGCGCAAGTATCGATACGTTGAAAAATATCGACGATGACGTGTACGACACGGCAGCTCAATTGGCAAATATATGAAAATAATAAAATCACATTTACTTTCTTAGTAGCATAAGGCATTGCCACTAAAATTAAAATCATTTATGTTTTCAGTGTCAAATTAAAAATGTTATGTTTGTTAAATTTCTACCGAGTCTTCTTTCCTTTCTTAGAGACGTACGTTGGAGTACATGAGTAGACGTTAGGATACTAACCAAAGTTCATGTTAGGCGTTGCAAACTTCAGATGGTACAAAGGCAGTTTATCGTCTCCCTTTGTTGAGAAATATAGAACCCACGGTGTCTGGTCTCCATTGCGGAGTTCATTTCTTATATCCTGAACGTTAATTAACACATCAAACTATATAACAAACATATTAATTAAATTAAATCTTATATCTAAGACAGCCATATATAATACTAGCTGTGCCAGCGACTTCGTCCGCGTTAATCGTTATTTTCGGTATCCAAATTAGTTTTTGCAAACCCCTTCATCTCTATAAACTTAAGATGTTAGCCACGACGTCGATCACGTCTCTTCCCGTCGTTCTTGCACGTTTTTTAGACGTTTTTTAGATCATTTAAAGAGGGATTATTATTTTATACACATTTTTTTTTGGTATCTTGAACCGTTTTCGCAGGGTACGCATCTGAAACCCACAGAAATGAAACATGTCCCCCGTTTTGTTTACATTTCCTGCTGTATCTTCACTTCTATTAGTCACAGCCTATAAGCCTTGATGCTCTAATCAACACAAATAAAGTTCAATTCAAACCCGTAGTTCCTGAGATTAGCGCGTTCAAACAAACAAACTCTTCAGCTTTATATATTGGTATAGATTAGCTAGGGAAGATTATTAGTGTACGTCTAATGTATCAAAACCAAAGAAATCAGCCAGTCGAATTTTCGAACAAATTCGAACTGTTGTTTGTATTTTATTTCTAGTATTAATTGTTATAATAGCAACAGAATAAAGCAATTTGTAAAAAAATCAATACATACTTCTTTTTATCTATTCTTGATATACATCTTAATGACAGACAGACACCGAAGTCTTAACAAGTCTAAACAAGATCTGCTTGCGTCCTATTTTGACTTTTTTTTCAACATTTGTATGCATTTTACCTGTATTTTCTTCAATCCAATTTGCTCATTTTGTGGCAAAGCCTCGACCACTTTCGTGACGATGGTCTGTTCGTCAAGCGAGTTTATCCAAACTGTTCTATTGTTGTACTTCAGCAGAATAGTGGTGTCTAAATCTTTTGATAATTTATTTCGCATTTCATCGTCGATCTTCACCACAGTAGTCACCCAATACTATAAAATAAATACAAGTACAAGAAAATACTCACGGTTAGGAAAAAGAACTTGCTGAAGGCAGACAAGAAGCACGATGAGCGGACGAGGTATAGATGAAAGTAATTAAAATCCCAAAAAAATACATACGGAATAAATAAAAGACTGTTTAATTAAGCGGTCGTAAACTGTCTAATTGGTAAGCATTTAAAATTATTCTATTAAACTTCTAGTTCATAGTAAGTCGCCGCCTTGTTGTAATCAATTTAGTGGCGGTAGTGGATAAACCATAATAGTTTCTGAAGAAAAAAACTCCCGATTTCTATATCGCAAGTCAAGTATACCATGTGCTCTGGAAATAACTGTATGTTATATTTAAAACGACTTACCAATCGATATGCCACACGAATGAGCATCTTTTCGTCCAATTCTGTATCGAGAACGTACGTTATGGGGCTGTCGCTATCTCGTATGGAAGTTACATAAGGTATTGTCACCTTCTTCTTCATATAACCCACAACGAATTCTTCCAAGTCTTCAAATGAATGCCGTCCCTTATAGTGTACGTAGCTGCCGTCTTTTCCCTGTATTCAAAAATTGGGACTTTCAGATATGGTGAATATTAATTAAATACCATTTTAAAGCATTTTTAGTTTACAATAAATCCACAGACATTGAAGAAATCAAATCAAAATAGGGTAGCACTAATGATAAACTAATAAATCTTTCTATTCCTGAAACCCTAAACTAACAACAAGCACAATTTTATGTAGAAGACAAAACGTTTGTAAACATGCATTTGAAATAAAATTAATAAACAATAATTTACACACATTTATAACTTTACAGTTGATATTATGAATATACTTACATAGGGAAAAAAATACAACGATGGATAATTACCTATCCTCATTGAGTTATAACAAAACATGTTGTAGTATTTACAGTTCACTGCACCGACTTTTACCTTGGAAGAGAAAAAACATCACTAGAATTATAGCCAGAGTAATTTGAAACAAAGAAGTCAGACAGCCTAATATAGCCTTTACTTACAATTCCTTTGTAGACTTCGGCTAACTTTTTCCAATCGTCAGCCAAACTTCGACAGGGTGGACAAAATGGTGAGTAAAAGTTAATAAAAACCATGCCGTTGGTGAGAAAAGTTTCTGCAAAAGTAATATGATAATGTTACAAATACAAAGTACTATAATCATCACACAAGTCTATCTGAGAGTTTTGTCCTGGGATAGTAAGAAAATAGTTATTTAAATAAAATACTTTAACGGGTTTAAACGCGACAAAGATCAGTTAGACTTATTTGAAAATTATTTTTAACCTTGGCCAAACTTTTCTCCCCGTGACCACGATTGCTGCAAAGCATCCGAAAAGTTGGGCCGAAGTTAAAAATAATATTCAAATAAATGCAATTGTCATATATCGCGATTTAAACCGTTAACGTGTTTTATTTAAATCTGTACTACTCGCGTAAACTTTAGACTACTACAGTATTTAAAATAGTTATTGCTAAACTTTTAAAAGTTCTGATTTCCTATTGATACCTACTATAACTAGATGGATTAATTGATTCCACATTAGGGTCTCTATGATAAAGTCCTTTTGTAAATAAATCATCATATTCTGACTGGGACCTATATCCAGAGTTCCCACTGTGGGATTGTCGAGATCCATAAATGTCATACTGCTTCCGTTTTTCTGGATCCTTAAGTGTTTCATAGGCTTCTGTGATTTTTAAAAATTGCTCACGTTCTTCTTCATTCTAAACGTACATAGATAAGAATGCTTAAGAAATGTAAAAAGGTCTACATAAATTAGGATAACACTGAATTATTATAAAGACTTTGTCGACTTCACTGAACAGTTTTGGTTACAGGTACATACATAATTGATCAGACTTCTGTGCCTGACCAAACAATGTATTGTTTTCCTGAGATTCAACTTCAGGACATCTCATGCCTAATGCAATGCTAGGCTCCATGTTTAACCATTCAGCTACAAAGGCCTTAAAGGTTTAAAACTTTTAGTATGGCTTGTTGCAATGATATACATTATGTTAGTTAAGATCTATTCTATTAAGGTCAATATCTGTTGAAACTCACTAGATAACACCTACACTTACACCCACATTATTTCAACAGTTTGTAGATAGATAATAATTCCCATTTGTTAAACTTGATCTAAAAAAAATATATATTATTATGGACTAAATATTTCAGACACACAATCCTACTTACAGAGTTCTTATCTGGATGTAATTTAACAGCCAATTTCTTGTATGCTTGTCTTATCTCATGACTTGACGCTTGTTTGGATACCCCCAATATTTCGTAATAGGTAGCCTTACTGAGATTTATACTTATAAGAAATATGAAAATGATAAATATTTTGTACCTGAAATAACAGTCCACGTTATATTTGGCAGTAGAATGTAAAATACCAATTATTGTTGAAAGAGATAGAAAAGTTTTACTTACATTTTGTGTTGTTATTTAAAATTTTTAAAATACGAAAATTTTATTTGCAGTAATAAAATTGGCCTTTGATTTTAATTACACCAAAATTATTAATCTTCTTTGATAGTTTGAATTAAATATAAACTGCTTCACCGACTCGATGATTTTGTTTTAATAAATATTAAATAATTGACTAAGGGTATACATATCACACAACTCAAGCCATACATTTTTAATAAATAGTCTCCAATAGTGAATAGTGCCTATGTTATATTGTTGTATTTATTTTTATTTCCACAAATCTAAACTAACAATTACAAAATGTTACAAAGTGCGATCCATAAGCCGTAACTATAACTAATAGAGACGTCCACAGAAAACTAAAGGAAAACCTAAAGAGATCACTGACCCGCTAAATGTCAAAAAACAGATTATTTTGCCGCCACAGATAGACTATAAAATATTACAATGGAAGGAAAATACAATTACAAAAATAACTCTGTTTTGTTTGCATGTAATTATCTCCCCAAATAAAAATGTGTATAAATAATAGATATGTTGATAAAAGTAAAAATACAAATTTTTGGTACAATTCTCAAAGTCTAGTACTAAAGTTTCATTTGTTTCCAAAAGACAAATTGTTTCAGTTCTATTCGTGGTAGAATATTCCTAAACGAAGTTCTGTTATAACCTTTATTTCAAAAAATAAAATTAATTGTTCGAGAAAACATCAATTATTATAGTGTCAGACAGTAAAAAAGGAGGATATAAATCTGTTGATAAGATTTCGATAAATATTTTTTCCATGCCGTAAGTTGTATCGCAAAATTAGAGCAACTGTGTTGCTAGAAGATCGAAAACTGTCAAAGAGTCGTTCCTTGACACCTTAACAACTATGACACTTGAGGCGCTAGTTAAAAGTTTAAAACCTAGCGTCGCCAATAGTAAACGACTGGCAAACACCTTATTAATTAATCTTTATTATTTGGGAAGGCTGAAAAACTAGCTCTTTATATTTTTATGATAATAAACACATGTAGTTAAATACTGTCTGTAGGTTACGCGAGTATTTGACATTTAAAACACTACCGTTAGTGTTTTATTTATTATTAGGCACACACATGCTATGCAACATGTAATAATTAAACAGGCTCATATAAATACATTTATTAAGAAAATACAATTAAATTTTCTACTACACTAAAACCTTAGCATTCATAACAAATAAGATAAATTATATAGTATTAAGTATTTTACTAATAATTATTAAAATTAACACTAAAAACTCGGTAAGTATCCGAAAACCATTTAATGTTTGATGGGGAGACAAAGGGGAACAGCCGAATTCGAAATTGGCAAACAATCATATATAGGTATTCCCATTTAACATTTGAAATATTTTAACATAAACAAATTTACTTAAAGTAAAGGTAACAAACTCCTATAACCGATAATTACTAAAATTTAATAAGTACTATTCAAATCACAGTCTAATAGTAATTAGTGCTTAATATTATGTTGTAAGGACCCTGCACCTTCTTAATTCTCTTTGAATTGTTTTATAATCCCAGACACATGGCCAAGCTTATTTTAAATTTTCTACGACATAAATAAATAGCGTAAGCTTACTAGCTTAAATAAAAACAACACATCCACTCAATTTAATATTCTAGTCTTATTTAAAGTTTAGAGAGCTACATCAGCGTATATAGGCGAGAGCCTTTCTTCGTAACGACTCAGCTAATAAGCCTAGGCCACTAGTGATAGAGCGATAAGGCGCGTGAATTATCGCTGAATCCGTCGCGTCGAAGTTCTTAACGCTGATTTTCTTTCAAGGCATTGATCAATTTTATAATCTACGATAAAAGTATTTTGCATTATCATACTCAAATCAAACTTTTTAGATAAATGTGTGTGATATGCAAACATATCTGTAGACTGCATCTTAATCGAATTCTACGAATACCTACCTAGAGATTAATATTCGAACCTGGTTAGCATTTGATATAATTACGTGTTTCATAAAACAGTTGAGGTAGTTACTTGAAATGCAAATACACTTTGAGGATCAAGCTGCCATTAGAGATCTGGCAATAGCGAAATATTTATATTGTCAATATGGATAATGTTTCTTCACAGATTATAGATTAGACAGAATAAGACAATTACTATAAATCTTGTGTTGCTTCCGAAAAAAACAAATTTCGTCTTCATCTTGTACATAAAGTTAAACGAAACTCTTCTAACAAAGTAGTATGGACAAAACTGTAATTATTCGTAATACAATCTTAAATTTAAAATGTAATCGTGACAGAAGTGGACTCACAATATATTAGGTATTTAGACGTTAAATTCACATCTAAATTATCATATTTACTTCTACGAAAAAACAAAAGAATAATTTAATAGAAACAAATTTTCACAATATATCACGGATAGATGTTGTATACATTACAGAGTAAGTAATATTTACAGACTGGTTTCTGCTTCATTGCATAGAACTTACACAAATCACACAATAAATAGATTATTAGGATGGCATACTTAAAGTTTTCATGACACGGTTATAAATAATTTTAAACAGTTAATTCATCTTATAAAACCAAGTACTGTTAATAACTTAATGATACGTCTATATATAAGGTCTCTAAACATTTCCTTGTGTCTAATTGAGTCATTAATTTCTGAATTGTATTATACAGTAGAACAAGGTTTTCCTACATTCTTGTTCTCAAACTAATATGTGTGGCAGAGTTTAATATAATAATTATATAACTAATTTTAGGATTATCCTATATAATTCTAACTTTGCTTGTTTGGTATGAAAGGTGAGATACCCCAGCCATGTCAAGTCTAAACAAGATTTTGATGTCGAATGTTCAGAAATCCACAGACTGAAACCAAAACCCACGAGACGGCTTTTACAGTCGGTTCGTAATCCGTACGAATTTCGATGTTTCGTCCAGCCATTTAATATCTGGATTTTCTAGACGAACTCTAACGTGGCTCAGAAAAAAAATATTTTAAAAACATCTTAGACCTTAGTAATCGTACTAACGACCATTATTAATGGCCTAGTATTTTCTACTGATATCAATAAGTACATAAATATTTTAGAGGGCAAAGCTTGGCATTCGCATTATGATAAATCATGCATTCCACTCCTAGCAAATACCAAGTGGATCATGCATACTTTTGCACTAAGTTCAAACGGAACAAACTGACCCGTTAGTTTCGACGGTAAAACCCTTAACTGGACTTCTTGACCATTCGCCTTAGAGTTAGATATCCTATTATCCTAAGAACGACGAATTCGGAAGCCAGTATGATTATGTCCGTCCAGTAATTGTCCGGCTTCAAGCTCAGCTCCTTAATAAGTTCCTTGGGATATCTGAAAAAATGACAAAATACTAATTTCAATGTATGCGATTCCATATGAAGGTATTATACTCGTATAAATTAAAAATAGACACTGAAAAATAAAACGATACGCGATACGTAACATTTTTACTGCAAAGCATAACATTAAACCTTAATTTCCAAAAGTTAAGGTTGAAATTACAATGCGTGTAAGACTCGGTAGTTCAAATGGTTGAAGCAACAGCACGGAACGCTCACGATGCCGGTTCAAGTCCTGCCCGTGACGTAAATTTGTTTCCGTCTAAAATTGATGTTTAAATTAACTACATAAAAATTTACTATGGTTAAAAAGATTTACCTTAAATGACAGTAGGCCACCGTTTCCGGGCAGTACATGGGCGACCTCCCGTACGAGTAAAGAGCCAAGACCAGGGCTTCAAAAGCGTGTCTCAGGAAGGACCCATACGAAATGAGTTGCATTATGGGATGCATATGCGGTAGCAGCACCAGGAAACCAGCGAATCCGAGCATCACGCACGTAGTAATTGCGCCAATAAAAGTGCCGTTCTGAAAAAAAAAAAACAACAACCTCCACTCCGAATACAAAAGTCGGTTTTAACTACAAAACTACTCGCTACGAAATTGCTTCACGTCTTCTTAAGTTCTGAATATCTAAGTAAAATTTTGCACGGCCCGGGATTCGAACCTCGTGATCGGTCACAAAACATATAATTTTCAAAAGTACTTACAATTGGGTTAACGCACGATCCGATCACATTGCCTATGGAATCAGCTAAAAGTGTAACGTTGGCTAGCACTATAACGAACATTACAAATCGAGACAACTCTACGGGTTGACCTGTGATCAAGTACGCAGGCAGGGAGTACACCAGGCTGTACCAAATCTGAAACAAGATTGTTCATTGTAAATCGGAAATCCTGCAAACAAACTAATCAAAATGGGGTTACAAGATGTTCCATCGTCGTAATTGAGAAAGTTTCTAGAAGATTATTTTTAGAAATTTTTAAAAAAAAACGTCTCCCCGTGATCACGGCTGCTGCAAAGCATCCGAAAAGTCGGACCGTAGTGACAATAATTTTCAAATAAGTTTAACTAATATATATCGCGCTATAAACCGTTAAAGTGTTTTATTTAAACGTTTCGTTTTTTAAGTTCGTCGACAGAACAGCTCGAGTGTAAAACGGCTGCAATAGCTTGTAAGAATAATTAAAAATGTGTCTTCACGTGCGTGTGTGACAGACAGACAATTGTAATGTTTCCAAGATCTTACTTGAATTGGTATAGTGGTGACCAACGTAGCTGCATAATACGTTTTCAGGCTGTACCAATTATTAAAGTTCTCCTTCTTCAACACAGGCAATTCATCAGGAACTGAAAATAGATGAAATAACAATTTTATGATATTAAAGTTTTACTAGGTATTATTAGATTCTAACTTTTAATTGTTAGAATTGCTACATAAAATAAATTTATGATTATTTTAAAATTAATAAGTGGAAAAAGTACACAATTGTTGTATTCAACTTTTTAAATTATATTGTATCATTGTTACTAAATGAATGTAAGACAGGAAAGCCTGGTTACAACAAACCGATTCCACTTGACATCTCATGTGACTACTGTGCACATAACTCCTTAGCGAATAATATTAAAAACTTGTTCATGGAAATAAGGTATCTATGAATAAGTTCATTCCATTCTTTTGTATATTCCTTGCTGTTAGTCCTATTTATTGCTTGGCGATATTTTTCTTGAGACACTAGGTTAAAGGTTAGCGACATCGGCTTCAAGAGTTTCATTTCTTTGAACATAACTGTCTACCTAATGTCTTGTCCGCGAAAAAAATCCGGTTTTACCCAGGTCAATAAACTGCAAGACGTATGTACGCTCTTTAAAATACGTTATTAACAGTGATTTATTAAAATCGCAACTTTTTCGAGATTCTAGATAGTCCGATAAGAATGTAACTTTGTATTGAGGTTGTAATTTATAAAGTAAACTGCTTCGTGCGTGATTATCATATCAAGTTTTATCGCTGGATTTGTATTTTTTATGGGAAACAAGCATGGGGTCCACTCGATGGAAGATGAAGCACCCTAGGCATGTAACATTTAAATAAAATTCACTGTCGACATTTGGATTTGGCCGTGCAGAAATCCACGGACTGAAACTGACACTCAGATTCAATTTATGGCTTTTCTGAGGACTATGGTTCATAATCCGTTCGGAGTTTAAATGTTTAATTTTTTTACTGTTCAGGAACTGTAAAGGATTAGTGCTGACTAACGCTTTTATGGTGCCTGGCTTAACTCTTTTTTCTAGTGATGAACAGTTTACTCACATCTAAGCACAGCTGGCATGACGGACGTGTAGCAGAGGTAGGTTGCCGAAATAATGAGGAAGCCGAGATTACTGAAAGTCTTGGACCCGTCGCTGCCCGAATTGTCATAGAATAGGCCCAGTAATATCCCCAAGCAGAAGTGCAAGACAACCTTAAGATGTGTTACGGTCTGAAAGGAAATTTAACCTTTTACAAAAACGCAGTCAAAAGTGATTCATTACAATGTCTAAACTGCCAGGCTATTAACGTGGCTGTCGTGGGGCAATGGATAGTAGTAGTAGTATATCACAATAGTAAACGTGTAGTTAAGTGAAGCGGACAGATGTTTTGTTTCAGATAAAAAGTGTAAACCGCTTTAAACATTTATTTTTAAAATGTAAGTATATAGAGTCGGGAACTGGTTTCAATCAATGCCGGGTTTTTTCCGAAACTGCAGGTACCTGACTTGCATCGACGTAAAGAATTGAGTCTAATAATAATATTATAAGAACCTAATTAATTCATTAAGTGATAAAAAATGTTTCAAGAAGTTTAAGTTAAGACCGCGCCTCCACAGCTGTCTCTGTGGTTCAGCATGGCGTATAAAGAAGGGACGCGGGGTTGACACCCTCTTTCTAAGTTTTTCGATAGGGCACGGCGCAAAGAAAATATGGGGTAATACTGAAAAATACTAACCCAATCTCTATACTGTTGTATGAGACACCGTTTGAACAAAATGCCAAACTTGTAAGCCTCGTGGGGCTGGTTAATCATGACGGACATTTTTCCACACTCGATTTGGAAAGCCTGCTCTTCTACCGGAAGCGTGATCTTCTCCATCTTCTGGTCGCGGGTGCAGCGGGCGGCAAGTAGCTCATTGAACTTGCCGTACTCCCCGTTTGCTATTTCCAGAACTGGAAATAACAACAACCACAAACGTCTTTTAATCTCTTTACAATCAAACAAAAAAGTACCTTAATTATGAATATGCCAATTTTAAGAACAAAGGGTCGTTCACTTGTAAATCTTTGTTCAAGGTTGTTATTGTTGTTGGAAAACAAAAATTTAAATTGTCAGGCACTTTGTAAATTATAAAAAAACATCTTAATTATTATTAACTTAATCTTTATGCATATTGTGGAGATGGACGTCCTTAATTCCAAACGAAAAAAGAGTTAAGTTAAAAACTAAATTGAATAATTAATTATTATACTAGGAAATTACATCACAATATATTTTTATCATTTTTGGTAAGAATAGAAAATGTTAAAATACAAAAATGTCAATGAAACGTTAAAGGGTTTTCTTATTTTCACTTAAATGTATTAATGTATGGTAAATGCTTCTAGTTATATCCATTGTTAATTTGGTTATTTGACGGAAAACTTGGTCACAAAAATACTCATAATATTTGCTATTTAGCCATACTTAGCCACATATATGTAGGAAATTCGCGACATTTCCGCTACAAGTAAGAAACACAAGTTTTGAAATAAATATTTGTTTCCATATATAGATACTAATTTGTCCTTTGTAGACGTTTAAAATACCAAAACAAGTTAAAAACCTGCCAATACGGCCAAAGGGCATGTAACACCCACTTCTTAATACCGCCCAAAATGATTTAAACAATACAATTTAAAATTTGACAACCATTGTTTGTGATTGTGACAACAAAAAACATTTATGAGTTATTGTAAATAAATTACGAGAGATCCGAATACCAGAAAAAAAGAAATTGAAATTGACGATAAAAAGGAAAGATTGGACCATAGGAAAAGGAATAGATTGTCCGAATCTCACAGAGTATGTTTTCAAATGGACGCAAGTAAAAAGCTAACAAAACATGCCACTTACTATAATCAGCGGGGTTGTGGTACATAGGACAATTAAAGCCCATGGACGCTAGGTACGGCACCGTGTTCTCACTCGAGCCGTCGTATATGCACATTCCCTCAGCGAGGATGTATACCTATTGAATTACATTTATTAACAAAATACAATGTTTGAATAAAACACTTTTCCATCTTTAGGCCCCCCGTGACTACAACTGCAAAGCATCGGAAACACCGTTTTGTAGTTTACATAAATTGTAAATTATTTAACTAATATATTTCGCGTTTTATACCGTTAAAAGTATTTTACAACTTTATAAAGTAAGTAAACAATATTTCAAAGATCTTGAAGTATTTAATGTTTGTTAAACACTAAATTGTAATCTCTAGTTGACAGGACAATTTCCGTGTTCAATACCTAATCAAAAACATATTTTTTATATGTTCGTCTAATACATACCTGATCAAACATTTTGTATATGAGAGCAGTCGGCTGGTGTATCGTACAAACGATCGTCCGACCACCGCGAGCAAGTTCCTTCAGCATGCTTACACATTGAGTAGTCGTTAGACTGTCTAACCCACTGCAAAGCAGTACATCATTTTAAATAACATAAAATAAGTAAGTGGACTATGTCGTAGAGAAAAAGTTATAAGTGTGTAAAATATTCTACAATATATGCACTGGGTTGATTCCTCAAGCGAAGTTTGAAATACAGCAGGTTTCTGTATCTGTGCTGTTAGGTTGATCGAATTCTTCTTCTAAATAAAATTATATACACCAGTGTTATGTCGTATGTACCCACGCAGAGAATATTGTATGTATTTATTTAAAGAAGCTTACGTGGTGGGTTCGTCGAGGAAAACAACAGGTGGGTTGTCAATAAGTTCAACAGCGATAGACAATCTCTTTCGCTGACCACCTGACAGGTTTCCCGCTCTCGTGTTCTCGGTACCCTTCAAGCCTAAAGTTAGCAAAATATCCGCTATCTGTAAAAATTACGATAATTCAGAAAATCCGTAGACTTTAGAAGTATAATAAATTGTGTACGGCTTTCACAGCCGGCGTGAGTGAGAAGCGGTCCTAACATCTGATGATGACGTCCGCTCGTGATGGCTAAACGTCGAGAGCCTCTTCTCGCTCACGTCGACTGAACAGTCCGAAAGACATATGATGAAGTTTTAAAGCAATAGGGCATATATTAAAATTATTTTTAAATCCGAGACAGCGATGAGAACATAGCACAATTTGTGTGTAAAACTACATAATACATATATAAATAAATACCTAATGAATGCAAAATTTTATATATAACTATTGTTTAAGTATCTAAGCATTGTTTGCGTGAAGACAAATTTGTAAACATTAAAACAGTAGTAGGTATGTACAATAGGTGTTGTATAAGCAAGTTTTTTCCTGCAGTTCACGCAGAAACCCGATCGCCTAGTGTTAAGTATGTAAATTGCACGTTGCAATGTCCGCATCATAATTCTTTTTAAAAATATCCCACTTTACTTTTAATACATATATAGCTTACAATGGACGTCTTTATTCTGTTCGTGACCATATTCCCTAGCTTCAAGTCAGCGGCGAAGTTCATTAGTTCGTTGACGGTGAAGAGTGGATCCAGTCTGTCATCTTGCAGGATATAACACGATTTCTTGCGATAAGCTCGTAGTGAAGCCGCTGATGTGTTCTTTCGTAATTCACAGACCGCGTCACCAGCTCTGACCGTTCCTTTGACACCGTTAATACTGCGAACAGACCACTCGAATTACTACTATCCTTAAGAAAATTAATTATATTAAATGATTCACTATCGTGCATATAAATTTCTTGCAATCGACGTAATTAAGCTGCATGACCTGTTAAAGACTATTCTATTAAATCGATGCGAAAAGGAAATCTTGTTTGGCATTAAGCTGTAATCCAGTTCCATCGGAATAATAGTAAAATATATTACCAGAATCCTGTGAGAGCATTTAGAAGTGACGACTTTCCAGCCCCTGAGGGACCCATGATGGCAGTAAGATGGCCCGATTTGAACAAACCGGAAACATTATCCAAAATTGTTTTCTTTTCTGAAACAGAAGAAAACGAATTTGTGGCATGGAATATATTATTATAAACCTGAAGAGAATGTTTGTTTGTTTGAACGCGCTTATCGCAGAAATTACTGGTTCGAATTAAAATAAAACCATTTGTAGAGGATGACTTTAAGCTATAACAAAAAAATAACTTTGCGACAAATAGGAGCGAAGAAACGGTAATATTTAACATAATTATTCTTCGCAGACAAAGTTGCGTATATATAGTCCCAAATATCCAATTGTGAGAAGTTAGGCTGTTTGTTGTACAAAACAGTATGAATAAAATAATGGTATGAATTTTCATACAAAAATTGTATAAAATATTAGTTATTCCGCCCCTTATGTCTGACCTTACGCTAGCTAATAAATTTGTCGATCATATAACACAAAACCAGTCAATGAACTTAACTGTACATTACCGTGAGCAAATTTTTTACTTCCTGTTTACGATATGTATAAAGAAGAAAACCCGAAGCTAACCGAAGCGGTACATGGTCACAATAAAAAGATTGTAGTTTGTCTCCTTTTCCTTTTCCAATATCACATAGAATATGTAACGAGGTAACTTAATTTTAATTGCACATTAGGGCATATTTTGTATTTATATGTTACCTCTACTATTTTCCAAGATCAATTAAGAAATAGCTTAGGGCAGTTTTAATATAATTAAATAAAATAATTTTCCTTCTCTACCTTCGTACCTATGAGTGTCGCCTTGATCAAATATGCGAGATTGAACATATTATAGCCTACAACGAGCGGAAGATTAAGGACTCTCATAATGAAACATTTTATGCGTATAAACCACAGATTGAAGTGACATTTAGCAAGAGTGGTCAAAATTACAATTCATTCAATATCTCAGCCTTAACAAATTAACGGTAGTAACATAAAGACAAATATTTAAAATGTGTACAAATTTGTTCACGTTGTAATGTTACACGATCACACATTCCTAGCAAGTTTTGATAAAGTATGCAGATACAAAATGTTTTTTTTTTTCATTCGAGATTATTCACTTAATTGTGTGTGCCTAGGCACGGTCGAAACTATATCTAATAGTTTCAACCGTGCCTAGGCTTTCTATATAAATCTTGTCGCTGTAGAAATTCTAACCATACTCTAAACTGACAGCATTTTAATTTTCTTATTGTTCAAATTATCTGAAAATCCAAAACGACTTTACAAACTTGTTGCTAATAAACAAGAAAAAACCTACAACCGTTAATCAATCGGTTAGCAAAGTACCTATTTCGTAAAAGTAACTGCTTAACTAGCTACCATGACTTAAATGTATATAAACTTACTTTATTACTTATAAACGTCAATAAAATTAAAACAGAAGTCTCGCATTTTTAATACAGTTTGAAATAAAAACCGAGTAAATGAAATAACTCAATGATTCCTTTCAATTAGGTAACTAGATACTAATACAAATTATAAACACTGTCAAGATCTAAAATAATAATAGCTAAGTTAATAAGTTAAGCACACAGTAGAACAATCAGTCATGGAAGAGTCTAATGTGAATCTATGCGATTATAACGAGCCAGAGCCATTACGAAGATAATGTAAATAGGAAAATGAAACGGTATTGACTCACTCGCCTTACGCATAGAACTTGTGTCCACAGTTGGATTGAAGAATTTAGCAGTTAGTAAAAATAATAATGTACGAACTACCATTTATATAGAAAACAGGAAGAGAATTACCATATTCGTTTTAGTTCTTATCTTTTGTCCCCCTTTGACCAAGTGGTTATAATTTTCAAAACAGCAGAGTTATAAGTCCACCCGAGTGGTATGAATAATTTAGTGGCTGTATTTGTGAAAGGCCCTATACAAACTGCTCTGAAACCCCCGCGGGGTGGATAACAATTATTTAACCCCCTGTTCTTTGAGCAACAAATCATGTCCTCATGAGATACTTATAAATTAAAAAAAAGTCTAAGTACTTTTTACACGGGTAGACTCCAACTTTCAACTTCGATAAGAAAAAGGGCGGATTAAGGTAAAACAATTCTCTCAAGTTCTTTCACATTTGCATTTACCAGTATTACCCGTGCCTTGGCATTGCGATGAATTGTCATAAATTTAAAATAATATATACAGGAAGTGCGACATTGGAATTTGATATCACACGGATACAAGACGTAGGGGAGACCGGGGCAAGATGAGATAGCTAAGACAAAACTCGTTATACAATGAAAATTAAACTCTTTAATAACATTCATTAACAAAAGAGATAACCATTATACATTTCTCTCTTATAATTAAACGTTGTAGCATGCAAAATCACAGAACTTTTTTTTGATAAATAATGAAAAAAATAAACTCGGCAAATTTCCCGTTTTGCCCCATAACTGGGGTAAGATGGGAAACGCTGTGGGGCAAAACGAGTACGCTTTTTAATCGGGTAGACAGCGTTCACAAATGTGTGCCTCTTCGTCTTCCTCATCTACTCCGGCACATGAATTATGCGCCCAACCGTGGCATGCGCCGCAGATGACCCAACCTTCCGTTGAATCTGAGTATAAGTACCCACAATAGATGCAAGCACAGTCATCATCCTCTTCTTGGGATGAACTATCTTCCGATCCTGTTTCATTTTTGCACCTTTTGGTTTGACGCTTTTTCTGCAGATTTTCCTTGTCTGTTGTCTTTTTAATCTTCTTTGCAGTCTTTTTTCCAGGTTTCCTTATTTGTTTTTTACCTTTTTCAGTCACTTGATTATCAGTCTTTTTCTTATTTTTACCTTCTTTAATACTTATATGTTTTATGAGTTCGTTTTTGTAAGGTGATTCAGTTAGTACTGCAGTCTTCCCTCGTTTCCTAGTCTTTCTCTCCTGAGTCCTAACTTCTTTAGGTATGGCCATAATATTTTCAGGACTTATTAGAAAAGAAGTTTTTCTTTTTATTTGCCTTTCGGGAGTTTTGTCTTTAGAAATGTCAATTTGAGAATTGAACGAGACCTGGGCACCATTGTTATTGGAAAAAGATGTAGCTGGTTCAACAATATCTTCTTTTTCAGTAGATAAAACTGGATGGACAGCATTTTCTGAGGATATCAGAGGCTCTGGAATACTCCCTTTATCAATTTGGCCAAGGTGAACTGAAGGGGATGGCCGCGATAGATTTTCTTCAGTGATTGCAGGTGTTTGAGTTGATGGAGCATTTTCCACATTTAGCCTTTCTTTTGCCAGATTTTCTGTGTTAGTCGTCTCTGCAGCTATGAAATCAGCATCGGTAAATACATTTTTATCTAGCGGCCATACACCACATTTCCGAAATCCATTTATGGCTGTTAACATTGTGGCTGCTTTTAAGTAAGCTTGTCCAAAAAGTTTTGCCACTTGATATGGTGTAACCACGCGACCAGGGTGATCTCTGAGCCATTTTTTCACTTCTGCACTGTAGTACGTGCTTAAAGGTCTCATGAAAGACACGTCTAAAGGCTGCAATTTGTGAGTGCAGTGTGGTGGTGTACATAGTAAAATCACATTATTTTCTCTTGCATAATCTATCAGGTCAATATTTTTGGTATGTGAAGAGTGACCATCTAACAGAAGCAATACAGGCTTTTCTTTTTGTTGGTTGTGCAAACTGCACAAATGATTTAAACCAATCAAAAAAATATTTTTGTTGTAATCCAACCATTGTCACTGCATGTGCCCCAAAACCCTGATGGAGCATCATCCAGAAGTTCTTCTTTCATCCGCTTCCGAGCGTATATTAACATTGGCGGGACATAGGTGCCAACGGCATTAAAACAAATTTCAGCAGTGACCAACTGACCTCTCTCTGCTGATAGAGGCAGCCGACTTGCTTCTGGCCCTTCGTTGACAATATCTTAGATTGACTTTTTGGAACAGTACTGATCCCCGTTTCGTCTACATTGTAAATTCTTTCAGGCGTCAGTTTATGTTTATCTATTACATTTTCCAACAATGTAAAAAAATTATCGACTGCCACTCTGTTAAAAGCCATCGCTCTTGCAGCTGATGTTGGTTCTGGGCGTCTGTATGCTAGATCAGGGTGTCGTTTTAAAAACCCGCTGAGCCAATCTTCTCCTGCCATACCAGTTTCTGTATTAAATGGGTTATCTATATGATTCCGCTGAGCCAACTGATAAGCTATAATGCGTAGCTCTTTTCCTGTTAAACCAAAAAGCCGTGCTTCCATAGATTTGACATACTCCGCCAGCTCATTTTCTTGCTCGGCTGAGAAAACTGTTTTGAATCGTCCCAAATGTTTTTTCCCGCAGTCGTTATCAGAATCAGTGTCGGCATTAACAGTTTCACGAGCTTTTCTTACTCGTCGTTCTAAGGTCGACTTCGGAACATCGTAAGTAGCCGAGGCTAGAAGAAATCCCATTCTATGAGTAAGAACAGCATTTACTGCTCTTCTCATGTCTTCTTCGTTCCATTTGCCACGATCTGTTTTTCGTTTATAGTTGCGAACCATTTTATCTGTAGACAAATAAATAAATAGGTAAATACTTTTGATCCTGATTTAAGTAGAATTCAAAAATATATCAGTAGGTACCTACATAGAAAATGTTATTTTAATCACAAGAGCGGGGCATAACGGGATAGTATCCCATTATGCCCCGATCATCTTGCCCCGATCCACACGTAATTAAAAAAGATGACGTAATTCTAACTTCAAACTTAACCGGCGAAAAAATCTGGTTTAAATGTAATGTTTTGGACTCCTATAATAAGCTCGGGATAGAAATAATACATTAACACAGGTACTCACATGTCTGTACATCAGTTTTCGAATCAAATTTCGCGTAAAAAAACTTGCAATATCACTTTTTTCTCTCTGCAACGCAAAAAACGAGTTCCAACCTGTCCGCTCTGCATGGACGCACTGGCGGAGAGTGAAGTTCGTGCAAATGACGCTGTTGCCGCTCAGAACACAAAAACAATTCACGCACACAAGCTTACTTCCCGTGCTGCCCCGAACTTCATCTTGCCCCGGTCTCCCCTATGTTTTGGAGTTTTTATTTTTGTAACCAACCAGTTTGTCATATTATTCGCTTTAATCGGTATCGATTAAGACTGGTCATTATCATCAGCAAAGGTTTTTTGGGATCTTAATTGGAAAATCCTATACTCTGCTAAACAATTTAAAAGCGTTGCTCTGTAAAAATAAAGCTCAATATCATTAGTTAGCCGCAGAAGCACTTAGTCGACCGGTTTTTATTAGATTTTTTTTATTCCACAAGAATTTTGCTTTTAATGTTAAAAAAGTGTAATAAAACAAGATTGTATTGTACATTTGACCACAAAACCACAATATTAAATAAGACAATATATATTATCATAGTTTAACCAACAATCCAAATTCCATAACTAATAATATGCGAAAACCTCGGTCTCATAGATATCAAATATGATTTACAGATTGATTCCAGGTCCAAACTGTAAACCGTATAAGTGAGTGTACAGGAAGAAACCTAAAACACTCCTGCCAGTTGAACTAATACATTAATTATCAGAAAACAAAATAAGTTATTAACTCCGATTCTGTCAATCGTTAATTGAATAACCATAACAGTTCTACTGTCGCGCGACTTAGCCGTTACTATTAGAAGTATTCCACTCTAATTGCAAAGGCAGGCCAAGGCAGAGATGCAATTATGTAGTAATTATCCTTATTATGGATTGGCCCGTCATAAAACCAGTTTCCCTTATATGTCATAGAAGTTACGGCCTTAGAAAAAACATAGGAGTCCAATAAAATTGTTGAATATTCATAAACAATATTGTACGGCGCAGTGAACTAAATTCCTCTTTCGGTGGTGGATATATCTTCAACAGCCACGATGCCTTTTACTGCATTTGAATTTGTTGTATTGTCATTGATAGTTGAGGTCATTGGTTCGTGGTACCCGTTACCACCAAACATGTTTCTGGAAAGCCATGTATAATTTTCCAAAAACATGTTTCATTACATCTGAAAATTGGTGGGAATGTTGCTTTTGGATATTCGGAAATGTGCATTTCCGACTATCCAAAACCAAAATAACTCAACAGCGCATCTCGCTTAGATGTTATATGGGTTTGATATTAAATTCTATCAAGAGAAATCCTTGCTGGTCTTATGAAAAAGTACTTACATTAAATAGAACGAAGTTAGCAAATAACATGTTTATTTAATGAACTGTAATCGTCCGTTCACGCAGGGCTGTATTTAGTTAGACGACGAGAAAAAGACCGGAAAATGTAATATAAGCCGTGCAATTAATATTGTAATTGGCCTTTGAAGAGGTTTTTCATGTTGCATGTCCGATATACATAGTCTTGACATACAATGTATATCGGACTGCAATCGTACTGAAAAGATTGACGAACTGAAATCGACCTCCACTAATTATTGGTAATATAAATAATGATATGTCGTCCATGTTAATCAATAATTAATAAAACCATGTTAATATATATATATATATATAATAAAAAAGTATAATTATTGAGTGAGTCTATAAATTTCATAAACCTGAACCAATAAACTTTTACAAATCTAGTAAATACTTACTGCAAATATCTCTTGCGGTTTAAACTACAACATACGCTCAGTTTATACGACCTTTTGTTTGTCATGGAAGTTGGATTACGATTAAACAATTATAGGTTGCGTATAAAAAATGTATTATCATTATCTTCATCTTCGCGTCTTTATGCATAAAATGCACAGATTCTGTTGTAAAGATTTTGTTTGTTTGAACGCGCTAATATTAGGAACTACCGGTTCTGATTGAAAAGTTATTCTTATTACAATTGCGACCAATAGGGTATAGAAACAAATGGAAATGTACAAAAAACGGAGAAAAATATTTATCTTTGAGGGCTTCCATTGCGTAAACGGTTTAAGAAACCAAAAAATATGTATAGAAGAATGATTCTTCCTAAAATAAAAAAAAAAAACTAACAGCGACAGTATAGACACGAATGACGTCGTGAGTCTTAATTTTTAAAGGTGAGGAGGTTGCTTGCAAAATAAATAATAAGATGCTATTAACTGTTCCACGCGGACGAAGTCAGAGCACAGCTAGTGTTATAATACTCTCTCAATGCAGACATACAAGTAATAGCACTTGATAACATAGCTTACTTATCTTTAAAGTGTAGTTCATGTGCAATTGACTAAATCGCTATTCAGCTAGCCAATGTCACGGTCGGAAGGTCACAAAGAGTACGTTGAAAATCATAACGTTTCGCTTTGACCTTTACGAAATAACATACAACTTTGACTTATTATGTATCAGAGAACAAACATAAATATTTTTTACTTTTCACTTCTTAGTAACAGATTAAAATGTCAAAGATTAAAATTACAGAAGTAATAATTATGAGTGTATAACTAGAATTCATAAAGGTTTCAATTGTTTTTTCCATTTCAGCCAGTACGATAAAAAAGTACCTTTGCTTATTAAGCAAATTCCAGACTGTAATTTCCTTTTTTATTACAATGACCACTTATTACAATTTAAGAATATCAATTTAACTGCTCGTTTCATTCTGTATTTTTAATTCTTGTTATGGAGGCAACAAAGATCTGAGGCAAAGATGTCTCTGTTCTTAATATCCACTTCTTTTCCTCGTTTTTACCTTTTAAACATAGGAGCCTAATAACAATTAAAAAGAGATTTTTATCGCAATTCAGATATCATTTAGTTACGTATTTACGAATTTGTTGTTTAGATGTTATTTTTTTATCATTAATACTTCATGGAATCTTTTATTTCATTAAAAGTTTTCCATTAGAAAAAAACATTATCGTAGGCAATTTATCTATATTTGCAGAAGTTTTTAATTAAGACGTATCGATTGAGATTAGACAGTGTGTGTTATTTTTAGCAATAATTTTCCATATCTATTTGAAGTTGTAAGTCAACAGTGATTTTCTTGTATAATCGTTAGACAAATAAAAAATATGTCCAATGTCATCGAATTCGCTAATATTCTTAGAATATTTTTTTACTAATAATACTAATTTTGGAGAGGTGACTTATACGAGAAGGAGCAAAAAACCTCTCAAGTCTTTCCATTACGCCGGACAGACATTGAAAAAAACTGACGTATGTTACAGATATAAGGCGGTTAATATTACACCACTTACATCATGACAACGTTTTATTTCCTAAAGGATATAAAAAATATATTTTAATTTAACGACGTAGGATGTAAATACTTGTAATCAATTCATTTATTGTTTAAATTTCTATGTCTTACCCGTCCGAAACCATTTTTGGTTTTCCGCAATCGATCCTAGGACCTCAAATGCAATACAAGGCAACATTTGAATCAGGCCGTTATTATAGGAGTATAATTATAGTCATATTCTTCCTTAAGTGCGCTAAGAGGATAAAAATCGTCGTCTCTGAACTTTCTGATTGAATCTGTGGCAGTGGCAACGCGACGTTTTGAGTTGACGTATTTGTTTATATCTGAGGAAAAACAGTCAACAAGGACTAAGCTTTCAGAGTGTTTTGGGGTATCACGTTGTCATAAAACAATGATAATTGATCTATTAGACCCTCGCTCTTAATTGGGCAGAATTTCGCTTATGTTGATCTAAGTTAAAATCTTGACGTCACTTGCAACTATTAATAAAATATTAACTTGTAACAATCACTGGACGCGGTGGGACTTAATGCCCAAAATAACTATTGTACACAATGTCGCAGGCACAGCTAGTATTAATATAATGATACGCTGAAATATTAAACAGTTGTTAGTTGTTACTATGATATAAGTATATTTGCAGGTACGTTCCCTCCTCAAGTTCGCTAAGAGAAATAAAAACGAAGGTAATCACGATTATTCCTGTCACGTTGTCAATAAAACTTATCAATCATAAAAATCTTGACGTATGCCAAACTTACGAGTAAAAAATCATAAACCTCTAAAACTACCAGTAAATACTTGTGTTAAGATTAAGTTGTGTGTTGTTTCTATGTATTTATTCGTCGCAATGTATTTCTGAGTGTGTTCTCATTTGGTATTTTTTTATTATTCCGGATTAACGTTTTGGTCTTTCGTATTAATTGCTCCTACAAAACATTAAGAGGTTTTATTATAATGCATTTTAATTATCTTTATCTATTTAAAGCTTTAACTACAAAGATATATAATCTTTTCTTTCATTTAAATAATGGTCTCTGCCTTACTGACTACAATATCAAACACATTTATGATTATTTTTTATCAGAATAATGCTGCGGTTACAAAAACAAGTTCTCTTTATACTGAAATATAATTATGTAGAGTAATTAGCTGTTCCTATTTAAGTGGTTTTTTGTAAAAAGGTTAATATTATTACGCGCGTAATGGCAGATAGAAAAAATATAATACCGACTTAAAGTATATAAAAGTAACGTAATATTATTTAAAAGAGTTGACGACACAAAAAAAAGAAATAATAGAGGAGGGCAGATATGGCACCCCAGCCAGCATCT